TTTATTTGGAGGGGGATGGGCCAAAAAGGGGGAAGGTAAGAGGGATATTTGGGGATACACTAGCCCCCTTCTAACCTTAGATTTCCACCTGTGGGCGATTGAAGCTTCTTCCCCTGACTTAGGCCTTTTGGTCGTGGCCGGACATGTGGATATTTTCATGACTTGCATCCCAGCTGTGACAGTAGTTGATGTCAACAGGCTGTCATTCCAGTATGTTTCCGTTCTTAAAGGGGGGGGGGAAGGAGTGGTAGACGCGCATCTGATCGTGCTTAAAGCACTCTTTGCACATGGCTCACGTGGGCACGCGGCCTAGAGTAGGGCCCACTTCAAGCTATTTAGCATTCTTCATTTAAAGACAACCGTCTCTATGAATACATTTTCATGCCTATTTAGAAAACAAACGAGATATATCCAAACTGCGAGATCGTGTCCTGACTTAGTTTCAGCTCCTGACTCAAGGGCTGTCTTGCGTGAGGTTCATTACATGTAGTTTTACTATGTATCTTGCTTTTAGGAAAATCAAATGCTTAGACATTGTTATATAACATACAAGTTTAGATTATCTCCTTTTGGTTTGTCCATTTGAGGTTTAAAAAGTTATTCTTGAGCCAAAGTCGAGGGGCAAAGCTGGAGGCGAAGTCCAGATTTGATGAACCTCCATAGACTTTTAACTCAAGCTTCCATCTTCCTTAAAAACAAAAAAACAAAGAAATTGGCAAGCCTTTCCAATCATGGAGGAATTCCATGTTCCAATGAATGGTTCATCAATTTACAAGGCGAGACTACAAACTTCCTGAACAGGAAGATCCAGTGAACCAGATTGACCTACATCCTAGCTGGTCTGTCATCAGGTGTAGCGGTGAAGAGAACAAGAATGTGTCTGGAAGTATAGGCCCTTGGGTCATCAGGTTATTGACATCCATGTACCTGTGCTCTGACACATTATGAGTTCATCTGGAGGGTAGACTGTTGAATATGCATGACCTAGTTGAATATTCATGTTCAGCTGCACATCTGGTGCAGACTCTGCTCTGCCATGAAGTGAAGTGATGAAAATTACATAATTTTCAAATTGACATCCATGTACCTGTGCTCTGACACATTATGAGTTCTTCTGGAGGGTAGACTGTTCAATATGCATGACCTAGTTGAATATTCATGTTCAGCTGCTCGTCTGGTGCAGAGATGGAACCGCTCTGCCATGAAGCGAAGTGATGAAAATTACATTTTCAAATTGACATCCATGTACCTGTGCTCTGACACATTATGAGTTCATCTGGAGGGTAGACTGTTGAATATGCATGACCTAGTTGAATATTCATATTCAGCTGCACATCTGGTGCAGAGATGGAACTGCTCTGCCATGAAGTGAAGTGATGAATATTACATTTATTATGTGTCTGGAAGTAGCCCTTGTGGTCACCCAACTATTGACATTCATGTACATATTTTGAGTGCATGTACGAGGTAGACCTGTCGGGAAGTTTGAATATTCATTAGGATATCCAAACTTACATGTAAATGTTGAATATACTGTTGAATATGGATGATTTGTTAAATATTCATCAAAATTGAAGGAATTACACATTTGAAAAATGAAAAAAGTTAAAAAGACAAAGAGCTTTTCCTTTTCCCACCCTAGTTTTGTTTCATTTCCTTCAGCTGGTTTATGTACATTTTTAAGACATGAGAGGGACAACACACAAAAACAAATGTACTGTATTGTAACGTGCATTGATAAATTACATGTGCCTTACAATTAAATTATGAATGTGAATCTTGGTAGAGGGCGCACTTCAAAATTGTTGGTATGACATATGATTTTATAATGTAAGGTGGTTGATCCTACATGTGTACTGGTGACATGTTTTTCAGTATTCACAAAACACCATTTGGTGAAGAATAATCAAGACATGGACTGTGCCTTGTTAAAAATAGGAATTACTACTGTCACGCGAAGCCAAAAGGTGGCTTGCAAAACAGGTCAAAATACTGACTAACAGTTGTAGATGTGCTCTGCACTTAAACTTGGCTTCACCCCAAGTTGAGAAAATTGGACTACGACCATCCACAAAACATTTGCACATTAAAGCAATATCCCTCCACCCGAAAAAGTAGTTCATCAAGGACATCATGTGATCATCACGTACGGAACTTCCAGATATTGGAGTCAACGAGAGGTCATTCCCCCCACCCCCCCCCCCCTCCCGCCCCACCCCTTCATTCCTGCCTCCTCTTTCAACTGCAGTTTGGGAGTTTATCAGATGGGATTTCCTGGCGTGCTGCTGACGGGAGTTTCCGAGGCCTAGTTTTTTAATCCAGTTTACTTGCTATTTTAGTTTGGAATGGGAACTCGAGTTGAATGAAGCGGTAACGTCTGGGGCATTTGCTTTAAAGGGCCACTGAAAAATGTCTTTTCTTGTACTAGTATTTCAAACCCTCCTACTATTTAAGAGGTCACAATCGGTCAAAATTTTCTTCCTCACCTCCTGGCATACTGTGTGCAAACCAACGGGGTCTTGACCAGTATTGACCCAAGTAATAACAAGGCTGACAATGCATGTTTTCATAGGAGGGTTAATGAATTAATTGCCTAAATTGGTAATGAATTGTAAGGAAATCAAACAAGTTGCAATTACTTTTCATGCTGATCTTTTGGCCCATTAACTCCAGTGGGTGCCATATATTTCAACCTGAAATATCCATTCACCATCCCCAAACTGAAGAAAATTTAATGCTAGCCCTCTTTCATTGTAAGGGATTTACTAGGAACCTTCTTCATTCGTGCAAAATCCAACACCTACTCTGATTGTGTTGGTACATTATCCCTGACACCATGTATTAAAGCATAATCAGTTTACTAGTGCAGTGCTCACTCCAACAGATTCCAACAAACCCTGGTATTGGAGTTTGACTGGGAATGTTTTAATACATGTACAGCATTGTGTCCCGTTTACTTTCATTTGTCATCTTTAATTGAACGCCATGGTACAGTGGTTAGGGTGTTTGACTCATGTACGAAGGTGCGTGGGTTTGAACCGTACCAGGAACAGTGTTTGTGTCCTTGGGCAAGACACTTATCTACAATTGCCTCTCTCCACTCAGGAGTATAAATGGGTACCTGTGAGGGTCGAGGACCGATTGAGCGCTGATATCGGCTGCCGTGTGGTCCCATGGCCTGCATGAACGGGGTAATAATTGTAAAGTGCTTTGAGATCGTTGATACAATGGAAAGTGTAAAGGTACCACTAAGGAGACGTGTAAAGGTACCACTAAGGAGACACGTTATCGTAATTTCTTCGCACGATGGGAGACATCGGTCATTAGGGAGACATTTTCATGTCTCCCTAATGTTTCAACCACCCTTTAGAGGCACAATTTTATTGTCGCAATTAGGTTAATTGTTGCTCGTGGTCTAATTAGTAAATGTACCGAAATTCGTGGAAAAGGGACCAGGGAATATTGGGTTAGGGCCCATTTAAGTTTGAAAAATTGTGTGCACAAGTAAATGGGGATGTCTCCCAAATGTCCAATCCAGGGTAAAATGTATAAGCACAATTATTATTATTATTTTATTATTATGATTGCCGCTGTCATCTGTTTCAAAGCTACCAAGCCCTAAGTTTGGATCATTATTGCGTGCAAACTTGTTAGAGTTTGTCAGCTCATTAATGAAAGAAACAAACATCCATCTCCTGGCTTTATGTCTGGAGCCCCGACTTCACACCTCCTGACAAATGAAAACCAGACTAGTTAATCCACCATTTCCACAAGTAATATCCTGTACAAGTACTCAGTTACGTCAAAACAAAACAAAAAAACAGGGGGGAAAAAGATGAAAACAAGGATAAATTCTTCTATTTCTGAACACAAGGGTGTTAATTGATTCATGAGACGACGAGGAAACGAAGTTCTTGATTGTTGTGTGAAGATTGGTTCCTGTAGGAAATTGTTTGTGGAACTTCATTTCCCTGGGAGAAAAAGTGGCAATTATTGGCCTTTCCAGCTGGCAACCTTGCTGGGTTTATCATTCTCATCTGTCAGTCTTTTTTATCTGTTTGTTTAAATTTTTCACTGCAATTCTTACAGGCTTTTTGGAATGCAGAAAATTTGTTCGTAAAATGCCACAAATATTATTACTCCAGTTGAGACCACATCATTCCCAAAAAAATATATATTCCAGAATTGAATTGTGCCAGTCTTTTTAACGGCCAAAAAAATAACTTGCATTTGGCCGACCAATGACCTGACCACAAAGTTTAAATTTCAATTTGTTTGGTGTCTATTTATTTGAAAGAAGCCAAAATTTTATGACTTATCAACTTATGTGGATCCAATCCTCCAATTTGACTTCAATGTAACTATAATAATAATAAATTAATTCGGGCAATTCACAATGCAGTGCGCCACCAAGAGTTTGCCATGGAGAGTTCATTTTTCAAGTTTACGGTCGACAAAGCATGGCCCATTTGGACGAGTGTCAGTAGAAAACTTGAGCTAATTTGTTATAGATTGGGGCAAAGCGTTCTGCCGCCTTACAAAATATCGATAAAACGAAAACAAAAGGGCAACAGATACTCGAATCATACGCTTACGAACTTTCTGGCCGTAAAAACTGACAATTTCAAATGTCCCGCGCTGCGAATTTGTCGACCATCTCCCACAATGCACTGGGAAAAATTAACTCTCTGTGGCCAACTCTTGGTGGCGCACTGCATTGTGAATCGCCTGAATTGTGGGAAGTAGTATTATTCTGTTGTGATTCTAAAAACAGACTTAAAAAAAAAGATAGGTAATAAATTCTGAAACTTGGAAGACCTATGTTTCGTCAGAAGTTTCAGAAGACATGCATAAAATGATTTTCTTGTTTCAAAAATTAAAAACAATTCAGTTCTGAAAAAAAGTTAAAAGAATTGGAATGTTCACGCAAAATCTGCACCCTAACCTGCACGTAGGCTATACGTGACGAATGTAATAACATTATACTACATGTTTACTCTTTTGTCTTTTCTGTAATAACAGGTGATCCCCCAGCTGATAGCAAGAATTGACACCCCAAGACAGCTAGTGGGACGTCTGATCCATCAACTCCTAATGGACATTGGAAAACAACATCCACAGGTGAGGAAACACTTGGCAAGACAAGTAGATGGACGTTATACGCCTCAACTTAAACTTCACCTAGAGTTCCTTGCAGCTGTTTCACTTTAGATAAATTAAGCTGGATGAGATCTTTGCATCAGAATACACTAACTCCACTTGAAAATACTTGGACAATTGCCAAATTTAACTATTTGTACGGGGTGAGTAACAAAAACGAAACCCAAATGTCGGGGCCATTGTTTTAGTGAAGTTCTGCATGTAGCACTTTCAAATCTAGGATATGAAAGCCCAATTCAGAAGCTTTCTTTTAGTACAAGAATAATTCAAATCACTCATGTACTTTTTAAGTTACAGAGTTTTAAACACAAGCACTGTTTTAAAGTTCTGTCCACGGATCACAAAAAAGGTGTGCGTTCTTTCAGCAAAACGAAAACAATTCACACATATCCTTATGTGATTTGTTTTCGTTTTGCTGAAAGAACACTGAACTTTTTGTGATCCGTGGACAGAACAAATAAGGGGAATAATCGTCATAGCGATTTTTGGCAAGGTATACACCTCCAGAGTTGGAAAATATGTGTAGCATTGCAGCGGTGGCAGCTTTTTGGGTGTTATCACCCTTTTTTTCAAAATGCCCATCAAAATGCTTGTTACCACTCTAGGGGCGGTATATACCTTTCGCATGCGCACTGTAATCATGTATGCCCTGATTTGATACTGACCAAACCCCCAGGCTGATGGCCTACTTATGGTAATGTACAAACCTGACTGCCAATTCTCGTGAGAAATGTAGTTTATTCATAGACACACACACAAAAATTCATCGAAACTAAACTCAACTTAATGCTGTCTTTATGATTGTACAGGCCTTGATCTACCCATTGACCGTCGCCTCCAAGTCCCAGAGCACAGCCCGACACAATGCCGCAAACAAGATACTGAAGAACATGTGCGACCACAGCAACACGTTGGTACAGCAGGCAATGATGGTGGGTACATTTGTCTGAAAAGTAATATGAATAGAAGTTTTTGTCTGACCAGGGCAATATGTGACCTGTTCTGTCTAAATCAGACTTTTCTGGGCATAAGGTCAAATATTAGATTTTTGCATATTGTTAAAATATGTTCTGTTTCCTTTTAATAGGTGGTTAAATTTTTGAAACAGGTCATTCTTGCACAAAGTTATGCTATTTTGAAGTTCATTGGGTAGAAAAGTAGAAAACAGAGAAAATGGACACGAACGTCACAAAACAGACATTTCTTTAACTGATATACCTTAACAAATCATCAAAAATACTATAATTAGAGATCAAATTAGGGTTTCAAACTTTTATAGTATATTTTAGACATGCTCAGGATTACAAATATGCAAAAATTAGAAAATGGAAAAAAATCGCCCCCACAGCATTTTTTGGCCCTATCTCAATTTCAACCTACATGTATGCCCAGAAGCGTCTGCTTTTGACAGAACAGGTCACATATATGTTCAATGAAGCTGAGTTGTGCTTGCGACATTTTGCTCATCGCCACTGGTCGGGCAAACCCGTTTTCACGAGATCTTCTGTACATGAACAAACATCTTGTGCGAAAGCATCATGCACACCGAAGAGTTGACGTGATCGTTGGGTAAACAGTTTGTTCAATGAGAGCTGGCAACGTAATGAACCCAGGTCATTCATTCATTCATTTGCTTTACTGCTTCGATTGGGAAACTTCAAATGTTGGTGAAGGGCAAAACCTAATTTGATTTACATCACCCCGACGCAAAAAAATGCCATCTTATGAATAGTTAATGCGGTAACCGCTGTTATACATGTACATCAGATTCGAACCAGCCAACCGATCCCGTTAGCTCGGTGGTCGAGTGGTAAGACATCTGCACTAGAAAGCAGGAGGTCGTTGGTTCGAGTCCCAACCGAGTGATTTTTTTTCCAACTTTCGCTCGGGAGGTAACACGCTGAGTATACAGTGTTTATACGTCTGTGAACGGCAAAACCTAATTTGATTAAATTTCAAATGATCGTGGACGTGCCATGTCAAACAATTCGGCTTCTGTTCATTGGTTTGCACAGACTTGTTGGAGGAGAGTTGGGTTGGGGCGACCTCGTTTGTCGGTAAACAAAATCATCTAATGGGACCTCAAAGCGATCAGCCCCCACCAGCTCCCTTGGAGAGGGCAGTGGGGCAGAAGTTTCCTATCAGATTTGGGCTTCATCCTTAGCTCCAAAATATTTAAAAACCATTAATGTCCAATAGTCTTTAACTGTTAGTCTTAGAAAAAGAATTCCATATTTTGGAAGTGCATGTAGAACTTGACTCCATATTGAGATAGAGTCCCCAAAGTTTGGAGCCTGAAATCTCTCACAACAGAAACAAGAAATAATCCAATGTTTCAAAAACCTCCGTGGAATAAAATCTCATGTAGTATATTTGACTTTGACTTTCAAAAAGTTGTAGAAACAGATGTGATTTTTATAAGGAATTAAGTGTCAAGTTTTCTTTTGTTCTGATAGGTGAGTGAGGAGCTGATCCGTGTTGCCATCTTGTGGCACGAGCTCTGGCATGAAGGCCTGGAGGAAGCCTCCCGTCTCTACTTCGGAGAGAGGAACGTCAAGGGGATGTTCGGTGTCCTGGAGCCCCTCCACGCCATGATGGAACGCGGCCCGCAGACAATGAAAGAAACATCCTTCAATCAGGTAGGATATGAACAGCACCCTTAATGAAAATGAATACTGCCCTCTAATATCAAATGAAGAGTGCCCTCTACTGACATGACCAGCGTCCTCTAGTGATATAGAATGTGACGTCTATGAAATTAACAACGCCCTCTACTGATATGAAAAGTGCCCTCTACTGACATAAACAGTGTCCTCTTCTGATCAGGAGTGCTTGGATAAGAACAGTGCCCATGACTTTTTACTCACTTTTTACTTGTGGAATGCACAACTTCGAAAATTTAATTGGATGCTAAGTGCCTTGAAGATAAATTTGTTTCTTTGTTTTCATTTGCTTTGCCTCACTAATAAACATAGAGGGTTATCTGTGCCAAGTTCAATGCTGCAGAAACATCACACTCTGGCCCGACTTGATATACCAGTAGCTGATGTATCAATATTAAGAATAAAAGAAGAGCAAAGCTAGGACTTTACTGTTTTAAACAGTGCCCTGTCAACCATATCGTATTCATATACTGTGCTGCACTGAAATGAACCAGGTGATACTTACATGTATATTCAAGGCACACTCCACAGATATCAAGCAAATTGTAGCAACCAATTCTAGAATTTGTATTTCAAATAATGAACATTTCTTCCAAAACTATTTGAGATCAACCCCAACCTTTTTATAATCTTTTAATTTTTATTTCAACGTTGATATTTTGGTCACCTGACAAACAGGCGTACGGGCGTGACTTAATGGAGGCCCAGGAATGGTGTCGCAAGTACACGCGATCCCGCAACGTCAAGGACCTGACTCAGGCCTGGGACCTGTACTACCACGTGTTCAGGCGAATAGCAAAACAACTCCCTCAGGTAGGGATCAGTCTATCACTGAACTTAATAATAATAATAATAATAACGAAGTTTTATAAAGCGCGCATATCCACCAAGGTGCTCAGGGCGCTATTACAATGAAAACGAAACAAAACAAAATCAGTTTAATTACGAAAAAACGGATCTTTCGACATGAGTTGTGTTTTGAGAGATGTTTTGAATGAGTGAATAGAAGTGGAGGTTTTGATATGAAGAGGTAGTTGATTCCAGAGATGTGGTGCTGCAACAGAGAAAGATCTGTCCCCCCAGGTACGATGAGATTTGACTTTTTGAAGAAGATATTTATTTCCAGATCGAAGGTTGCGAGATAGTTTATCAGTTACCATTGTCTTAAGACAAGATAAGTTGGCGGTAGCACCACGTGAATAAATCTCTTTTGCGAGTATGTGTGGTTCTGAAAAGAACCGGAGGGACTCAACGTTTCCAACAGTATGCTCTGCCCGTCGTCAGGAGAATGAGGGATTCCAACTCAGAACGTTGAGTCCCTCCGGTTCTTTTCAGAACCACACATACTCACAAAAGAGATGTATTCACATGGTGCTACCGCAAACTTATCTTGTCTTAGTATCTTTTCACCATACAAACCTTCAAAACTCATATCATTGTCTTAAAACCCAATTTATTGGAAAACAATAGCAAAACAAATGAGAAGAAAAGAGGGAAACAATCAACATCTCTGTGTTTTTGTCTGTGTATTTATGGGATGGTAGTCAGAGGCCATTAACTTGTATGTGGCTTGTGGCCCGGGCTCACACTCAAATTTGATTTTGTCAGCAACATTACCAATGTTTCAAGCTTGAAAAAAATTGCTCTTAGAATGAAGGGAAATAAAGTTGGCGTAGTGATACTTGCCTCGTCTTCCACCACTGTGACCCCGGTTCCAGTCCTACCTACATACTACATGTGGATTGGGTTTTCAGTCCCTGCCTGATTCCTTGGTTTTTATCTGGAATGTTATTTTTACTCCGGCCACCAAAACTGTAATTTCATTCCTCTTCTACCAAGGGACTCCACTGATAATATTGAAAGACTTTCGTGGGCTATTGCAGCCAATTGCTCAATTGAGACCGATCACGGAGTACTTCATGATCAAACAAACCACTAAAATAAAACTGAAATTGTATGATTGCTGTCTTTACCGTATCCGTAACAGCTGACCCAGCTAGAGCTCCAGCTGGTCTCTCCCAAGCTCCTGATGTGCCGTGACCTTGAGCTAGCCGTCCCAGGGACCTACAACCCCAACCGACCCATCGTACGCATCCAACGCGTCCAGTCCTCCCTGCAGGTCATTACCTCCAAACAGCGCCCTCGCAAGCTCAGCATCTTTGGTAAGGTTACGTACCCTTATGGAGAAATCCGAGCACATGACCGATGAACATGCTTGAGGTCCCCTTCCACAAGTCAAATCATAGCCAATCGCAAGTCAATCACAAGTCCATCACAAGTCAATCACAAGTTGGATCACAAGTCAACTGCAAGTTTATCACAAGTCAATCACAAGTCAGCCACAAGTCAATCACAAGTCAATTACAAGTCAATCACAAGTCAATTTCAAGTCTATCACAAGTCCAATTACAAGTCTATCACAAGTCAATCACAAGTCAATCACAAGTCAATCACAAGTCAGCCACAAGTCAATCACAAGTCAATCACAAGTCAATCACAAGTCAATTACAAGTCAATCACAAGTCAATTTCAAGTCTATCACAAGTCAAATTACAAGTCTATCACAAGTCAATCACAAGTCAATCACAAGTCAATCACAAGTCAGCCACAAGTCAATCACAAGTCAATCGCAAGTCAATCACAAGTCAATAACACTATTCATAAGATGGAATTTGTGTCGGGGTGATGTAAATCAATATTAGGTTTTGCCCTTCACCGATGTACAAACACTGTATACTCAGTGTGTTACCTTCTTGAGTGAAAGTTGGAAAAAATCACTTGGGAGGGACTCGAACCCAAAACTTCCTGCTTTGTAGTGCAGATGTCTTACCACTCGACCACCAAGCTTGCAGAATCGGTTCACTGGTTCGAATCTGATGTACATGTTGTGCACCGCAATGAAACTATTCATAAGACGGAATTTGTGTCGGGGGGATGTAAATCAATATTAGGATTTGCTCATCACAAGTCAATCACAAGTCAATCACAAGTCAATCACAAGTCAATCACAAGTCAGTCACAAGTCAATCACAATTAGTCAAGCACAAGTCAATCACAAGTCATCACAAGTCAATCACAACTCAAACACAAGCCAATCACAATCAAGTCACAGGTTTGAATATTAGAACATCTATCTTAACAGGAAGCGACGGTGCGGAGTACATGTACCTCCTGAAGGGCCACGAGGACCTGCGTCAGGACGAGCGGGTCATGCAGCTCTTTGGCCTGGTCAACACTCTCCTAGCCAACAACCCAGATACCTTCAGGAGACATCTCAAGTAAGTCATGTTGGACCCGTCAAGAGTTCAAGCCTTAAAATTGATGAGGCGGGACATCCAAGCACGTGTTTGGACCGCTATCAGCTGTGCTCGGTGTAAAAACAGGAAATCTGGAGGTCCCAATTACTCTGCTCCCAACCCCCCCCCCCCCCCTACAACAAAAGAAAAAGAAAAATTGGCCACAAAACCACATAGATTTTTTATGCCTCTTGTCGAATAACACTCTCTTCTGGGTAGATAATTGTATTATTGTTTTACTGCATCTTCTTCCTTTACAATGGTGGTGTTATTTTAAGAATGGACTCTTCTTGGAAAAAAAATCAAGCTGTTTAAGATCAGTAATTCTCAGCAATGTTCTCATCGAGGTAGCCAAGAGGGATGCTCCTCATCAGCTGATGCACCCCTGTGAATCATCCAAAAACTTTAAGACGGTCTAAAAAATATATTCATTTATGCGTGTATTAGCTATCTAGGATCACAATTTTGCAGCAATCTTAACATCACTGCCGCATCGTTCTTTTGAGTCATATCCCCATTTTAAGTTATGCCCAAATGTGTTTCGTGTGAGGAAACATGTTACATCTCTGACTAAAGGCCAAAAGTATGGATCTGTACTTAAAGCTTGAGACGTTATCCATTAAGTTCACCAGTCTGGAAAAAAATAATAATCGTGAGTCCATTAAATGTGCACTGTTAATACTGTTCCCCACCCCACCCAACTTCAGAGATATTCAATTAATTGCCATTTCCCAGATGTGCAACATTGCCTAGATGTTTGTTGCTAGTGCCTTGACTTTGCACGTGATCCCCCGTCATATGGCATATACAGGGTGGTCAAAAAAACGTTTACACCTTTTGAGACACAGATTTCTTGGAATTGGGGAGGCATGTTAGAATTGTTTTAAGATATTCTTAAGCTACAGTATCTTTGTGGGATATGGTGGAAACGGCGCTGAAAATAAAGCCTTAATTACGAAATGGCTAAGGTTTAAAGAAATATGGTAAACAGAACCCCAGTTTATCCAAACGTGAGTCTGTGAGATACAGTGTATATGGTAAACACAATAGCACTGCGTACAAAGAACTGCGGTAATTAACTGCCGTAGACGTGGACAAACTAGTTTTTGACCATTCTGTAAATGGCCGCTATTTCTTAACTTGAGCTTTATTTTCATTGCCGTTTTCACCATATACGACCAAGATGTTGCAGTTCTTCTTCATTTGCCCCCCTAAACAAATTTAAAAACACAAATAATAAAAAAGAATAAACAAAATTTGTAAAACCAAATCGCAAAATAATACACGACAGGCCACTGGAGACTAAGTTGTGTGCTCCAAAAAGGTTAAAGATATAGTCCATCATTTGTAACTTGTGCATTTTGTTCGTTTGAAGCAACAAAAGTGCTCAAAATCTAAAGAAGGATGCTGAACAACTAACCTGATGAAGTTTCAGCTCAGCTTCAGCTGTATATTCCGAGAAAAACAGCATTCTAGGATCTCAATTTCAAATCAAAAGTTGCTGAATCATGTTATGAATTGCACATGAATTCAGCGTCCGAGACACGTTCTCGCTGAGCCGATTGCAGCTACGCGATGTCGCGCACTGATCAGATGAATTATAGCAACTGCGCGTGCGTGTGCGTCGTGCCAATGCTTGCGCGCGCTTCGCCGAATAACAAAACGAACTACTAATTTAAATTTTCCTACGGTGCGTCTTAAGAAGCACCGTTGGAAAGGCCTTCTTTCGTTGATTACTTCAAAATGACAGCTTGCCAGAAAGAATAATTTCACAGGGAGTTTAATCCCTATACTATCTTTCAACCAAGTATGTTTTTCAAAAATAATTATGCCAGTTACTTTTGGGATAGCTGCAAATGATGGACTATAGCTTTAAATCAGATTCAGGCTATATTTGTGTCTGTGTGTATTTGTGTCTGTGTGTATTTTCGTGGGCGGATTGAAGCCTGTTGTTGGTCCATTATGGGAGTTGACTACAAACTCAATTTCCTTGTGCCATCCATTACATGAATCAGGGCCATCTGCCCCAGCTCCTCTGGGCTTTCTCTCAGGGGTGGAAGTACTGATTTCATTGTTGTTTCTTTGGCTGAAACTTGTCCAGTAAAGGTAACATTAAGGTTGTCCAGTTCAGGGGAAAAGTGGATTGCGGACAAACAACGGTAAAACCGGGATTGCCCGCAGGCTAGGGAAAACAAATTGATGTTTAAATATACAAAACAGTATACATCAGAGTCCAGATGGGGACTAACGGTGGGCGTGGGGTTGTCCCCCCCCCTTAAAGAAAGGGATGTCGATAATGACTTTCATTCGCCGTCATTCCTCATATTAGGAAATGAAGAAAGGTAGAGCAAGACACTTTTTGGCGGTAAATTTAATTGTTAATTTAAGTTTACAGTTGACATGTGATACTGCTAGGATGTTGTATTACGTGTAACTGCAGATCTACGTGTACGAGTTAAAGCTTGAACAGCTATAGACCATCATCATGTTGGGGCCATCTTCATTTTGTTCCCATTCAAATCAACGTAACAAAAGCGAGGCTGGAAGGAAAAACAGTCTGGTTCCTTTTTGCACAAAAACATTTTCATTCAGTACTGTTACTGGATACAGGGAACATGACTGAAATGATGGCTGCATGATAAGGTCTATTGAACAAGTTGGTGTCCTTCGCTGCCATTGATGTAATTAAAAGGCCTGTTCCCCCACCTTCCCACCTCTCAGAATTTTGGGAGGAGAAAGCATTTCATTGTTTAGTACCCCATTGAGTTCCCCTCTCTGGACCCCAGTTGAGCCACTGTTCCCCACCCCTTCTTTGTATCTCCAACGATCAGCAAATTTCATTGTTACGTCATCTTCATTACCAGGGCCGGATTAAGTGTTCCATAGGCCCTAGGCACCAGTGTTCTGTGGGCCCTACTCTGCCCTTGGCACTGGCACCTATATCGTGTTGATGCTAAAGCTTTACAAAGCAAGCCAGTCCAAACTGGTAGTTCTAAAAGCCTGTTGGCCCTGTGCTTCAGAACGACAAACTTTACATGTAAATGTTATACGTACATGTACATGCAGCTACCGGTACATTGTATGTCAGCGTTAGTGGGTGAAATCGAAAATTCTGAGAGAGACGCTAAAACTTTTTAAAACTTTTTGTATGTGCGTTGGTGTTGGTGTGGGTGTATGAGTTTTATGGCACACTGCAGTATTTTCGTAGGCCCTCAAAGTTTGTGTCGGCCCCCGAATGGTTTGTTGGTCCCCAATTTTTTTGTAGGCCATAGACACAGTGCCTGCTGTGCCTATTGGATAATCCAGGCCTGATCATTACATTTAAAATGTTTCATCCCTGCTTGTCAAAACACATGACGTTTATTTATCTTTCTCATTTTCTTCTGTTTTTCAATGCAGCATCCAGCGCTATTCCATCATTCCACTGTCCACCAACTCAGGCCTGATTGGCTGGCTGCGACACTGCGACACCCTGCACACTCTGATCAGAGACTACCGAGACAAGAAGAAGAAGATACTGCTCAACATCGAGCACCGCATCATGCTCAGGGTAGGCACAGAGAGAAACACCTCAATTCTATTGATTCAAAAAGTTGTACACGTACTGTAGGGCTATTACCCTTTAACGACTGTTCGGGTAGGTCTTGGACACTGGCAGTGAGTGCAACGGCGGATCCGGGGGGGGGGGGGGGCAACAGGGACCATCTCCCCTCCCCCCCCCCAAAAAAAACCGAACTCAATATATTTGTTATTATTGTTTTTAGAGACGTCGCGAAAAAGATAGCATTGACATTGCGCCAACGTGCACCAGTGCCATGAAGAGTCCTCTAGTGCCCCGCCCTTGCTTTTCATATTAAAATTTGGGGCGGAAAAATTTTGGGCCCAATTTTCGGGGAACAAAAAATAATTCCCCCCCCCCAAAAAAAGTTGTGTTCTGGATTTGGCCTTGAGTGAGTGGTCTGACTGTAAGGTCGGAAACACAGACCCGTTTCGGCAGAAGTCTACCGCCAGGCCCAAAGCACACCACCAACTATCAGCACTCTGGAGATCACCCTCTGTCACTCGCACCTCACACAAGCCGAAAGGCAAAGGAGACTTGGAGAAGAACACATGATCTGCTGTCATAAGATTATGTCAGTTTTGCTTCTGCCGTCTCAACTGTTTTCTTCGTCAGTGCCATCCACTCCTCCATTGTAAAGCCCGGTTCATACTTCATGCAAATGCGAATGCGAAGCGACTTTGACGTCATGAAACGTTCACTGCAAAATTTGCCAGAGTTGAAATATGTTCAACTGTTACAAATTCGCAGCGCGAATACTTGCCATGACATCACAAAGTCGCGTTCGCTTTCGCTTTTTCGCCGAGTATGAGCCGAGCTTCAGAAGCCGTAGCTGCTCCAAGTTGGCCTTGTTGTGTAGGCGCTTGTTGAGGTGTGGTACGAGGGCGTCCTTGCCAACCTTTCATGACATGACATCACAGATGACGTGGTTTGACCTGGATGCTGTACTTGGAGAAACTTTATTGTTGCAAACTTAAATAACAACTGACCATTCCTGGCCATTTTTGTACCACTAGATGGCGCCAGACTACGAGCACCTGACCCTCATGCAGAAGGTGGAGGTGTTTGAGCACGCCTTGGAGCACACTCAGGGAGATGACCTGGCCAAACTACTCTGGCTTAAGAGTCCTAGCTCAGAGGTTGGTATCATGCAGTACTATTATCTTGTACTCATAGAAATGTACTCTTACTCACACTCATGAACAAAATTCCCATGTACGTGTACTCATACTCACGTTATGGTACTCTTACTCGACTTTATATTTGCACATGTGTATCCAAATTACTTAACTTCATGGTTGAATTTTATTTTCCCCTTATTTGATTAGTATTGCACCATGACTTTTTTTAATAACTATCTCTTCTCCGATTCGGTTCCGACAATTGAAGTTTCTTTGCATCAAACTACACAAAGAATTTGTACGCCCACTTGAATTCACCCTTTGTTTATTTCTTAAAATGATTCATCATTGATTTGAGTTGGCGTTTTTCTCTTGATCATGATGATAGGTTTGGTTTGAGCGACGCACCAACTACACACGATCCCTGGCCGTCATGTCCATGGTGGGCTACATCCTAGGACTTGGAGACAGGTATCACTATCATTACATGAGACAGTGCCCTCAATGGCTTCACTTTTCGAGTTTTGACAATTTTTGTCTTTTTTTTGGTTGATAAAATTGAATTTTAATTTCAGACTCCAAGTAAAAGACTTCTTTTTAATTCTCAAGAAAGACTTATCAGTGTATATGTAGATGTTAAATTGCAAATTCCCAATATGGTAATTCCAAAACTAGGCAAATATTTAGCAAAGAACTTCCTGATTAGGTATAGCACTTTAAAATATCTTAGAAAAAAATTAATAGCAAAAAATCACGTCTGGCAGTTTTTCCGTGCAATGTCATTATTTTGCCATAATAAGTTCCTTTTTTGAAAGAGACGCATGATGGGAATCAAAATTAAAAAAAAAAAAAAAATCTGATGCTTAGCAGAAATTAGATTTGTTTTTATATTTAAGCAATTTTTAAGCATCAAGGTTGGTGCACTGTACGGCGTATGTTGCTCACTGTTATAAATCAAGTTCCTTTTCATTTTGTTTTTCCAGACATCCTTCGAATCTCATGCTGGACCGCATGTCAGGAAAGATCATCCACATCGACTTTGGCGATTGCTTTGAGGTAACCCTCCATTGTATCTCAAGATTTGGAACCAGTTAATATAGCCAACCTGCATTGTGCTCTTTGCTTTAAACCTCAAATCTGTTTAATCTCGGTGGTGCTGTGGTCCAATGGTTACAATGTTCGACTGGTGTGCCGTGGTGCATGGGTTCGAATCCTGACCGTGGGAACATGGTGCTTGTGCTCTTGAGCAAGGCACTTTACCATTATTGCTTCGTCCTTCAGATGGGACGTAAAGCCGTACGTCCCGTGTGTTCAGTAATGCACGTTAAAGAACCCAAAAACACTTATTGCTAAGAGAAGGGATTTGCCCCGGTGTTTCTGGCAGTGGCTGCAATATGCGCCGCAGCACCTTGTCAACTCTATAAGGTGCTACATTGTACATAATGGGTCTCATAAAACTTAATTTACCTGTCTTTAATACTAGACATAATTTCCAGCGCCTTGAGTACTAATTGTTGGTAGATGCGTGCGCTATCTAAGACTCCAGTATTATTTATTATTATTATTATTATTATTAATCTTGTACCCCGATTAAGTGCTTGGGTTTTTTTCTCACGATTGTGGTCATAGTGTTCTGTTCAAGAAATGAAAAATCAGAAATTGATAAACTTGTTGGTATTTATGTCTCAGGTTGCCATGACGAGAGAGAAGTTTCCGGAAAAGATTCCATTCCGACTGACGCGAATGCTCATCAACGCCATGGAGGTAAGATGAAATGTCAGGTTAAGAGGTTTTTTTTCTGGAAAAAAAAGGATATTGATACCCCTCCAACTCTGTCTAGCTCCATGTAATTAATTTTTCTTTCATTTTTTTCTTGTGATCAGTGGAGTATTTAGAGGTGACTTGGTGGGGAAGAGTTGAACTTTTTTTTAGGGGTTTCAGTTTTGTTGACTTGCTGCAATGAACACGGTGAGTAAAAAAAGCGGAACCCAAACCCCCAAAATTATATTTCATATTAAAAAAAAATACGTAGCACCAAACATAATAATGACTGGAAAGCCAATTTCATAAGCTACTTTTAGATGAAGAAAAAATTACTGAAATTGCTCAATCCGTTAAAAGAATATCACCATTTAAACACAATGACCCTAAAACCTGTTTCGTCCAAAAATGCGATTTCAAGAATCATCGTCACAATTGTCTTCAAACATCAACAGCGATAAAAACTCAGTTTTAAAGTTAAAAATATTCACCAAAGTCCTTTTGAAGGACCGTCTTTTTAAAAAAAGTGGATTTTATAAATCATATTGTTTGCCTAACCAGGGTTGTTAATAAAGATATTGTGTACTACAATTGTTGACAGTTGTTGGAACAAGTATTCTGTATCAATTTCTTTGTTGTTCCAAACAACGAATCACACTTAACTTGTTTTGGGGACGAAACAGGTTTGAGGGTCATTGCGTTTAAATGGTGATATTCTTCTAATCGATTGAGCAATTTCAGTAATTGTTTCCTCTAAAAGTAGCTTATGAAATTGGCTTTCCAGTCGTTATTATGTTTGTTGCTACATATTTTTGTAAATATGAAATACATTTTTGGGGGTTTTGGTTCTTGCTTTTTTGACTCGCCCTGTAGAGCGCCGCCCATGGAGTACCGAAGTGAATACGTCACGCGCACAAAATGTGTGTGAAAGACATTAGCGCGCGTGCTTCAGCCCGTGAACCAACATGCGCGCGCGCATACTCCATTCGTTTGCACTACACTTTCTGGTTCTAAACGACGTCACACTTCGGTACTCCATTGTGCGATGGTGTTTTTGAAAAGTGCCTCCAATAGTCGGATATTGTCCAGCCATTCAAACCCCACCCCCTCCCCAATCATGAAATAAGGTCTTTATCTCAAATTGAATTCAATGAAATTTGTTTTTTTTTCTCTCTTAAAGGTGACTGGCATTGATGGTAACTATCGCATCACCTGCTCCTGTCTGATGCAAGTACTCAGAGAACACAAGGATAGCATCATGGCTGTGCTGGAAGCCTTCGTCTATGATCCACTGCTGAACTGGAGACTAATGGACAGTAAGTTGATTGTCTGTTACCTTCAATTAAGTTTTGGACATTTTCTCCAAAAAAAGTGAACGCATCTACTGACTCTTGTTGTATATGATATGATTTTTTATTGTGTTTCCTTAACCTCTTTGCAGCCGCTCCTAAAGCCAAACGCTCCAAGGCCCGATCAGACTCCTTCTCCAGCAGTCAGAACAATGCAGGTAGGACATTGAAAATGAGATAAAACATCTTTATCTTTCCTTTTCTTGTGTTTTTTTACACAAGAGTTTTTACATCATCTCTCTCTTTCAGTATTTCTGATTTTGAACCATTTTCTCATGCTGCTGAAAATTTTCCCACTGGCATTCAACAATGCAGCCGTATGCACTTTCACATATTTCATCAAAAGTACACAATTTCCACAGGTTTTTCCCATGCAAGTATCTGCAAGTTGCTATCATGTACATGCGCAGTTTTTTTTATATCGGGGGCGGGGTTAGGAGGGATAAGAAAGGGCGGTATGACGTAAACAGAAATAAAAATGAGAAGGGAAATTCTGAAAATCTGGACAAAAATATTGTAACTTTCCAAGTTTTAATATGCAGGGCTTTACCAAAATATCAGTTGTTAGTATCAATATGTTAATTATATAATATATTAACATATATTATCAGAGTTTTGCAAATAAATTTTTATAAACTGCCAATACGTTGCACTTTTTTCTGAGAACAAGCAACACTTCTTCATAGCAAATGAAAAAAAAGGACATTTTTTTCTTTTTGTTGCAAAAGGTAGAATTTTTCTCACAAACAAACCACCCATGAACAGATCCAAGAAAATTATTATTTTTTTCATTCAAACATTTGTTGGAAGCCTAAAACGTTTTCCCGCTTTTTTTTTACATTCATATTCCATGAGCGTTTGTTTGTTTGTTTGTCCCTTCCTCCACTCATTCATTCAGATCTGCTCGACGACGTGAACATAGACACGCCCAAACAGAAGAAGGCGGGCGAGGCCGAGTCATTGCAATCATCGGGTAAGGTCAGAGGTCGGGTGGAATTTGCCTGTTGCCATGGAACATTTTGAATCTTTTTTTTATGCAAAAATGCATTCAAGTCAAAAGGGATATAAAATGACTTCATCGAAATTGGTTTAAAAAGTGTTTCAATTTTTCTCATTCTTCAATGCCTGACATCTCATTGCGTAGAAACCATGCCCATTTCAAAACGTTGCACATAAATGACCACATACATTTGTAGCAAAATTCCTCTTTCCAAGCCTAAGACAGTTTTACCCATTCCTATTGGTCAAGAGCCAGTCACGTTAGTGGTTTTAAGTGGTTGATAAAACACTGACTGGGTTTAAACATTTTTTTTCCAGCACCGCTGCATTCTGCGCCACATCGCGCAGTACACGCTACATGCACGCCAATCTCCGTGTAAGGAGATTTTTAGTACTAATCGTGCGAGGCACATACCATAAACATAACTAGAGGGGTGTTTCACAAAACAGGAAGTTAAATTAATGAACAAAAATGAAAGCCAATTTCATAATCTACTTTTAGATGAAAAAATGACTGAAATTGCTCAGTCCATTCAAAGAATATCACCATTTAAACGCAGTGACCCTAAAACCTGTTTCGTCCAAACAAAGCAATTTAGTTTGTGTTTTGACTGTTGGGAACAACAACGAAAATGACTCCGAATGCTTGTTTCAACGACTGTCAACAACTGTAGTACTCAATATATTTATTAACAACCCTGGCTAGGCAAACAATATGATTTATGAAATCAACTGTTTTTTAAAAGACAGGCATTCAAAAGGACTTTATTCAATATTATTAAACTTTGAAACTGAGGTTTTATTGTTGGGGATGTTTGAAGACAATTGTGACAACAATTCTCGAAATCGCATTTTTGGACGAAAGAGGTTTTAGGGTCATTGCGTTTAAATGGTGATATTCTTTGAACGGATTAAGCAATTGCAGTAATTTTTTCATCTAAAAGTAGCTTATGAAATTGGCTTTCCAGTCATTATTATTGCTGGTGCTACATATTTTTTTAAATATGAATTATACTTTTGGGGGTTTGGGTTCCGCTTTTTGGGGGGGCTCACCCTGTAGAATAGTACATGAATAGTATACATTAAATCGATAACGTCTGTTTTGGTGCATTTCAGATGCATTATGTTTCTGGAAAACTGGGTTCAATGTTTTTTCAATTTCTTGTGTTCGGACTAGTTATCATTGAACAGAGTTGCATGCCAGAGATACTGAAATCAATTTTTTACATCGGCTTTATTGGACTCCACAATAAAGACTTCAATTTCCAATGGAATTTACAAATTCATTTTTCTAATTTTAAGATCTTCAAAAGTATCTCTGTTGTATAGTGCCGTACATGATGAACCTGTCTATTTTTCAGAGCCCGAGGGCGCTGTTCAACCAGAGGCTCTCAACAAGAAGGCCATCAGTATCATCAATCGTGTCCGAGACAAGCTGACTGGTCAGTTTCATCATCAAACATTTGTTTTCTTTGCAAAAACCTCCCCTTGTTTGACTCTATCCCTAGAAAAATTGACACAAGTCTTATTGCAATACAGACATCCCATATGGAGTGTCACGGTCTAGCGGTTAAGAGCACCGCACCGGACTCATGCTCTGGTGTTTCAGAGGCAGCAGAATGTGGGTTCGAGCCCGGGTCTGGACACTTGTGCCCTTAAGCAAGGCACTTAACCATTATTGCTTCGTCCTTCGGATGGGACGTCAGCCGTAGGTCCCGTGTGTTGTGTAATGCAATGCATGTAAAAGAACCCAGTAACACTTATCACTAAGAGACACGGTTTGCTCCGGTGTTTCTGGCCTCCTAGTCCTGTTAAAACTCCCGTGCCTAGTATTCCGGAGAAGAACCAAGTACCATGGGTTATTTTGGCCATGATGAGTCCATTTACAAGTTTTTATTAAGCCTCATATTACGTAACTCCATTTTGAAAATCAAACAAAAGTCTGAAGAAAATCCATCCCAAGGAATGAGTATAAGTTCTCTGTCTTGAAGGTTTTAGTAAGGTACCCCCAGCCAACTGACTTAAGGTTGCTACTGTTGTATACAAGGGAGTATAGGAGCTAGTTTTTGTGTATTACTTCCCTCATATAGGCCATCAGCTTGGGGTTTGGTCAGTATCAAACGAGGGGAATAATGGTCATTGTGATTTTTGGCAAGGTACATGTATGCACCCCTGTAGTTGGAAAATATGTGATAGCATTGCAGCGGTGGCAGCTTTTTGGGTGCTATCACTTGTTTTTCAAAAATGGCAGCCAAAACATGCTTGTTACCACATATAATTAATCCGGTTCAAGCATATTGGCAGCCATTTTGAAAAAAACAAAATTAAAAGGGAGAACACCCAAACAATTGCCACCGCTCGCACTACAAAGCTATCAAACATTTTTTTCCAATTCTAGATTTGTATACCTTGCCAAAAATCGCTATGAACATTGCTCTTTTCGATCATTCGATGCCCAATTTTTGGACTAAAGCTGATAGCCTAATACTACCGGGTACATATCAGTTGGGCGATATAGTACATGTATGCAGTTGGAACATCAACCAATGAAAGAGGAGAGTTTGGCTCATAAATATGTATGAGATGTAAATACTACTTCTACTCGCCATCAGCCAATGAAAGAAGCATGTTTAGTTTATAAGTGGGTAATTGTATAAATTCCGGGTCCACTTTTCCTCCTGTCCCTGTTACATCTGACATCTATGATTTTATGATTCTGATGCACTCCTTAATGCAGTCATCCAAGAGTGACTACGAATAGCAAAGTAGGCTTGTACCTACATAGCAAATAAAAACAAAGACATTTTGGAAATTCATAATGACCCTTGAATTACAAAGTACAGTGGAACGCCGCTATACCCAACACCACTATACCGAACCTTCGGCTATACCGAGCATCATCCTTGGCTCCCGGTTTTAATGTACAAAACGTACCGAACATTGTTGTTGAAAAAAGTCCACAGATTAACAAATTATCTACCGGTTGTATTAAAGGCTGTTTGGGCCACATTTAATTCCCGCACATCAAACCACCCATGGTTACATCGTGTTTGAATGTTGAAGAACGATAGATGGCTGTTATTTCCCCAAGGAATAAAAGGGAAAACCACCCGTTGCTAAAAGTTTCGTGACGATGACTTGTGTGGCCGTGGGATGCGAGAAATGCCAGTTCACTATTGGTCAAACTGAAGAGGGTACCAGCGGTTCAAAATCGCTAAACCGAACGATCAGTATTATGAACACTTTCTGTGGATCCCGCAATGTTCATTATAGCGTCGTTCCACTGTACCAAGGTAACGGGAAAAAAAAGTCACAACTTTCGATTTTTCAATTTATAGAATGACCCACCTAAAATAATTTATTCTCCTTTTTTTGCAGGCAATGATTTTGCTCAGAAGGAAGCTGTGGACGTAGCCAAGCAGGTGGAGCTACTGATCCAGCAAGCCACATCGCATGAGAACCTGTGCCAATGCTATATTGGATGGTGAGTGTATCAAACACGATTCCTTGGCATTGAGCATCGACGATAAGCCCATGCTGTATTCCAAATGCGAAAAGGCACAGGATTTGATGATTTTGATGGGGGAGGCTGTTGCTATTTTTACTGAACTACCTTGCGTGTGAAATTTATTGAGTAAAGTAATTTTTCTGGCGAAAGTTTGTGTTCTGTGCACAAAAGTTTTGCGTGTGTTTTTCAACGACTGTTTCATCGAGCAGTAAAAACAAACATTAAACAGCCATCAAATTGGTGGGTTTGATGCATCTTGCTTAAGATGGGTTTAGTGAAATCGGTCTTAGGACGCTTCTTAGCTAAGATTGATCTTGGAGCCGGGACTCGTCTGAAGTCGTAAGATGAGTCGCAACATAAGACGAGTTTCGTGAAATCGGCCCCATGGTGATCAAACCACATTCAAGAGAAACTCATTTGTGCCGATTTTTCTGACGCGAATGTCTTTTTTTGTTAACATTGTAGATTCAGATGTGTTAATAATTTTCCCGAATTTTGTTTTTGACACCACAGGTGCCCCTTCTGGTAAAGCGTCATGAAGCCCAGCAGTGAAGGGACAGACTCTGAAGGTCGACTCAACGTATCGACTCAATGTATCGAATCATTTGATTAGCGGACAATGGAACCAAAGGTTTCAAGTAGTGTTGCCTTCAGTAAAATGCTGGAAATATAGAATGTAGGTTTTATATTCTGGAAATTTTGAATATAGCACTCGAAAAAGTTTTAGAAGAGAGGGAAAACAAGAGAAAGTTTTCAGGAACTGGAAAGAATGTTGCATCCTGATGGCTCTTTTTCATCATGTCATCTCAATGAAGGTCAGTCATTGGTCATTGCAAAAATGATGATGAGACATGAATCTGGGACTGAAAAACATTTCCAATGTTGTTTAAAAAAAAACTGGAAATTTTTGTTGACTCTTCATAAATTTTGAACACAACCGCCAAAGTGGCGTCTGGATACTACTTTCTTTCCCAGGAATTTCTTGAGATTTTTTTTTCTTTTTTAAATTCTATAAAAAGAGAGGGAAATTGAATATTTTGGGATAACTATTTTGGGGCTATCGACAGCGTGCAAAAACAGTAAATGTATAGATGTTACATTGCAACCACTGTTTGGAGCACTGTTTTGGGGGTACACTGCGTGTACGCTCAGAGTCGCACGCATGTGTCACAAAAAATGTATGCAAGACTTTTAATTACCACTCATAAATACTTGAGACAGTTTACCAATTCCTATTGATCAATAGAAGAGGCTGTATACATGTACCTAATCAAACTGTCAAAAGAGCCTGTCACGAGGGTGGTTTTAAAACTGCCGGCAAAACACAGGAGGAAAAAGAGTTGGAAATTTGTTAAAAGCTTGCTAACATTTTTAAAAGATTTGAAGAGAAAAAAGGTATAAAGGTAAATCATTCTGGCCACCTTTCTTTTTTTGGAAGGTTTTTTTTTTGGGGGGGGGGGGAGTTGGAGAGATAAAGTCTTTTGTCCCTTCTTTGACGAGAATAATTATTCAAAATTTTTTTTTTTAATCTCGTTAACCCTAACTCCCTTGGCCTGTTTGCTAGGATGTAGCCTCAATCCTGCAAAATTCCCCAATTGGCCTCATGGAAAAATAGCGTATAGCCTCAATCCTGCAAAGTCCTCCATTATTTCTTGAATATGGTCCACGGAGGGGTGACCACTGCCTGAATCCTGCAAAATCCTGCGGCAGTGACTATCAATATGTTCAGGCTTGGCCAGTGACACCCTGGAGCAGTACGGAGGATTTCAAGCATAACCCAGGCCTATATTTATGCATGGCTGAGCAAAAACAACACAAGGTCAAGACCTTGACAAAGTGCATCCTACAAACTCAGTAACGCACTTGTGCCATGTAACCTCAATCCTCCAAATTCCTCCACTTTGGCAAAGAGGATTTTGAAGGATTCAGGGTGGTTAGGGTTATATACATGTACACATCACAGATCACCAAACACCATGACCATAGAGTTTAGTTGTGCAGGGCCCTTGCCCACTTTGGCACAATATTTACTTGTCATAATGCACAATATACAATGTAGATTAATCTTGTTAACCGATATAATATTCACCGATCCCAAACAAGAAACAACGAATAGAAAAGGCTGTATATTTAATCAAACTTGCGGAATTTATATATTTTAAATTGATCCACCCATATATGATGTAAATATAATATATTACAAATAATGTCTCGTCGCGTGATTAATTTATTATTTTGTTTAAGTTTCAAGGACAAAGCACACAAGGAATACTAAGAAATCAAAGAATTTATACATGTAGCTCAGTATGAAAAAGCTAAATTTTGGTTTAATTTGTTTAAAATGCATCGCCACATGAATTTAAACGTGTCCAGACAACCATCTTTAAAAAATTTGGTGTTTTTGTGTTATTCTTGCGAGAACCATGCAAGAACGAATTTCGGGGGTCAGAATTTTGTCCCCGAAAACTTAAGCTGTTCAGTGCTAGTTGTGATCCAGCCACATGTACAGTGGTTCGCGCTCTGCGGACGTGTAAGAAACATTTGTGTATTTGTTATGTTGTATTATGTACCAGACTCACAAAACGTGTACGCTGCATTCAATTGACACAACTTGAAATTACGTACATGTATGTCACAAAATGTCTGTCGCGTCCAATGTAACTTACTTTTGATAAAATAAACAGTAAATGTACATCGGTTTATACTGGCCCAAAGTGAAAAACTGGAATACCTCAATAGTATGTAAATGTCTTTAAGTTTAAAAGGCATTGGTAGCACCTTAATACATGCACATATCCCAGGAAGTTTGAACTGTTTTATTACAAATTAACCACAATGAACAACTGAATAGGTGCATTATAATTTTTTTCTAACTTTTGAACATGAAAATATAATAGATTGGGGTTTGAGTAGTTCCACTCACTCTACCAAGTTAGCTTTCCAGTATGGTACCCTGTATATATTGGGCAGCCGACTGGGCACAAAATACCCTGTTTTTAAAAATGTTTGCACAGAATATTTTCAAAAAATACCAAAGCGTCTCTTAAGAATATTGAAAGCTGAAATACTGGTGTCCTTTTGCACACTGTGGCCGAGTGTTACGTACAATGTACCTGCAAATTTATTTGGTCTTTTTGTAACTTTGCTTCGAAAGAAAGTCAAGAAAATCATTATGTTGTATAAAACAGATCATTCCTCTGATGATGCATAAACAGAGAAGTGAAATAAAAGTAACAATGTGTTAAATCTGGCAAGCTTAGTAATACTGTTTGGTTGTTAAATTGTGTAAATTATTAATATATGTTCTTCACTGAAGTCGTAGATTTTTAAAGGCTTAAAGATGTACTATCCCCGTTCTAATTCTTTTCCAATCATGTCAATTGTTCGTGTGTGTTTTTCTAGGGAACCAAAAAAGGGTACCAAAGTGTGCCACTTATTCTGGTTCCTGCGCAAAGCTCAAGTGTGTGTGAAGACATCAGCAGCGCGCAAATGAGAAAAGAAACAGATTACATCGGACTTTGGTACTTTTGGCCAAATTTCGTTAAAAAGTAAGGCTTACCCCTTGTGTTTTTTCCAATTTTGGCCAAAAAATCAAATTGCTTAAACATGCCGGAAAAATGTCTAAAGGACCCTAGAACATGTTTCAATTCGATTTCTGGACAGATTGGCTTCTCAAAATGAAATTTCGACGAAAATTTGGGGTAAAATCAGTCAAAAATTATGATTTTGTTTTTTTCTCTAAAAATCGGAGAAATCTTCAAAATATTGGGTGTTTGAAGGTTGATTGATGCTCCTCTTGCCTTGAAAAGAATTTCTGCATTGTTTTTAGAAAACTCAATTTTTGGCCAAATTTCGTTAAAAAAGTAAGGCTTACCCCTTGTGTTTTTTCCAATTTTGGTCAAAAAATTGAATTGCTTCAAACTTGCCGGAAAGTTGCCTTAAGGACCCCAGAACGTATTTCAATTAGATTTCTGGACAGATTGGCTTCTCAAAATGAAATTTCGACGAAAATTTGGGGTAAAATCAGTCAAAAATTATGATTTTTTTTTCTCAAAAAATCAGAGAAATCTTCAAAATATTGGGTGTTTGAAGGTTAATTGATGCTCCTCTTGCCTTGAAAAGAATTTCTGCATTGTTTTTAGAAAACTCAATTTTTGGCCAAATTTCGTTAAAAAAGTAAGGCTTACCCCTTGTTTTTTTTCCAATTTTGGCCAAAAATTGAATTGCTTCAAACTTGCAGGAAAGTTGCCTTAAGGACCCTAGAACATATTGATTTGATTTCTGGACAGATTGGCTGCTCAAAATGAAATTTCGACGAAAAATTGGGGTAAAATCAGTCAAAAATTATGATTTTTTTTTCTCAAACAATCGGAGAAATCTTCAAAATATTGGGTGTTTGAAGGTTAATTGATGCTCCTCTTGCCTTTAAAAGAATTTCTGCATTGTTTTAGAAAACTCAATTTTTGGCCAAATTTCGTAAAAAAAAGTAAGGCTTACCCCTTGTGTTTTTTCCAATTTTGGCCAAAAAATTGAATTGCTTCAAACTTGCCGGAAAGTTGCCTTAAGGACCCTAGAACGTATTTCAATGAGATTTCTGGACAGATTGGCTTCTCAAAATGAAATTTCGACGAAAATTTGGGGTAAAATCAGTCAAAAATTATGATTTTTTTTCTCTAAAAATCGCAGAAATCTTCAAAATATTGGGTGTTTGAAGGTTGATTGATGCTCCTCTTGCCTTGAAAAGAATTTCTGCATTGTTTTTAGAAAACTCAATTTTTGGCCAAATTTCGTTAAAAAAGTAAGGGTTACCCCTTGTGTTTTTTCCAATTTTGGCCAAAAAATTGAATTGCTTCAAACTTGCCAGAAAGTTGCCTTAAGGACCCCAGAACGTATTTCAATGAGATTTCTGGACAGATTGGCTTCTCAAAATGAAATTTAGACGAAAATTTGGGGTAAAATCAGTCAAAAATTATGATTTTTTTTTTCTCTAAAAATCGCAGAAATCTTCAAAATATTGGGTGTTTGAAGGTTGATTGATGCTCCTCTTGCCTTGAAAAGAATTTCTGCATTGTTTTTAGAAAACTCAATTTTTGGCCAAATTTCGTTAAAAAAGTAAGGCTTACCCCTTGTGTTTTTTTCCAATTTTGGCCAAAAAATTGAATTGCTTCAAACTTGCCAGAAAGTTGCCTTAAGGACCCCAGAACGTATTTCAATGAGATTTCTGGACAGATTGGCTTCTCAAAATGAAATTTCGACGAAAATTTGGGGTAAAATCAGTCAAAAATTATGATTTTTTTTTTCTCAAAAAATCAGAGAAATCTTCAAAATATTGGGTGTTTGAAGGTTGATTGATGCTCCTCTTGCCTTGAAAAGAATTTCTGCATTGTTTTTAGAAAACTCAATTTTTGGCAAAATTTCATTAAAAAAGTAAGGCTTACCCCTTGTGTTTTTTCCAATTTTGGCCAAAAAATTGAATTGCTTCAAACTTGCCGGAAAGTTGCCTTAAGGACCCTAGAACATATTGATTTGATTTCTGGACAGATTGGCTTCTCAAAATGAAATTTTCTCAAAATGAAATCTCAAAATGAAAGATGTCTAAAAGACCCTAGAACATATTTCAATTCGATTTCTGGACGGATGTGCCTCTCAAAATGAAATTTCGACGAACATTTGGGGTAAAATCAGTCAAAAATTATGATTTTGTTTTTTCTCTAAAAATCGGAGAAATCTTCAAAATATTGGGTGTTTGAAGGTTGATTGATGCTCCTCTTGCCTTTCAAAGAATTTCTGCATTGTTTTTAGAAAACTCAATTTTTGGCCAAATTTCGTTAAAAAAGTAAGGCTTACCCCTTGTTTTTTTCCCAATTTTGGCCAAAAAATTGAATTGCTTCAAACTTACCGGAAAGTTGCATTAAGGACCCCAGAACGTATTTCAATTTGATTTCTGGACAGATTGGCTTCTCAAAATGAAATTTCGACGAAAATTTGGGGTAAAATCAGTCAAAAATGATGATTTTGACGTCACATAATCCTTGGTAACAGGTATGGTCAGCCATCTTAGATTACACACAGAGTGAACCGCAAGCAAGTTACTGCAAGATCATGATCTTACAAAAACATCAAGGTAAAAATGACGGCTCTTCATACCATTTATTGTACAGGGCGAGTAAAAACAACGAAACCCAAATGTCGGGACCATTGTTTTAGTGAAGTTCTGCATGTGGCACTTTCAAAATCTAAGATATGAAAGCCCAATTAATAAGCTTAGTTTATTACAAGAATCATTAAAATCACTCATGTACTTTTCAAGTTACAGAGTTTTAAAACACAACCACCGTTTTAAAGTTCTATCCACGGATCACAAAAAAAAGTTCAGTGTTCTTTCAGCAAAACGAAAACTATTCACACACATCTTTATGTGATTTGTTGTCGTTTTGCTGAAAGAACACTGAACTTTTTTTGTGATTCGTGGACAGAACCTTAAAACGGTGGTTGTGTTTAAAACTTCGTAACTTGAAAAGTGCATGAGTGATTTGAATGGTTCTTGTGCTAAAAAAAAGCTTAAGAATTGGGCTTTCATATCCTAGATTTTGAAAGTGCTACATGCAGAACTTCACTAAAACAGTGGTCCCAACATTTGGGTTTCGTTTTTTTACTCGCCCTGTAAAAAAAAATGGAATGAAGAGCCGTCATGTTCACCTTGATTTTGTATGGTATCGGCCATTTCCCTGTGTATGCACCTACCCCCCAGAACTATGGGGCTCCACGAGGCGAAGAGCCCCACAGATGGAATGCCAACATTTGCTATATTACTACCACACAAAGTCAAGACAAAAACGAACGTATTTGCATAATGTGCTAAAAAAAACGCTGTACATTTTGCCCCCAAAATCTGTCTGGTACTTACTGACAAACTCAAATTCATTGTGCTGAACAAAGGATAGGTCGAATCGGTCCCGATTTTTGCTTAAAAAAAAACAGATGAAAAATAACAGTGGACATCTTAATTGACGTGATCGCATGCAATGGCATGTACTATACTGTACAATGCGTGTCCCCGCGTTCGTAATCCAAGATGGCTGTACAGCAAATCGATGAGTGATGTCACCAAAGTGCACTCTTAGGGTTGCAGATGCTAAAAATTGAAAAACCATGAAAAACTAACTTGCTGGTGTGAATTGGCCGATTTAAATCTGATATAGCAACGGGTACTAAAACCAATTTAACCACTATTAAAATACCATGTATTATATCATCATAAACTAATCGTTGTATATATTATTTGAGGCAGGTTTTGGTTTTTCCAGGAAGAAAATTTGGACAATGTTGAGCGTTGTAATTGACCACATTATTGAGTATATTCTCCCATAATAATAATAACAGGTTCTTATATAGAGCTTTTAACTTAGATCAAAGCGCTTTACATTATTATTACCCCTGTTCATTGGGCCAATTAAACATTCCAAACACCATCTCAGCTCCCTGGGGAGTATACAGCTTGATGCTGCCTGTTAGGCACAAGCAAGCTTATTCAACCACGATAACCATCTCTACCCTTACAGGTACCCATTTACTCCTGGGTGGAGAGAAGCAATGAGTGACAAAGTGCCTTGCCCAAGGGCACACGCACCATGACCCCGGCTGGACTCGAACCCACAACCCGCAGCTTTACCCACAGGCCACGACTGAATCCAGTGCCCTTAAACCACAAGGCCACAGCACTCCACACTACCAATGCCGAATTCCTGCTGTGACATCACTGCAGCGCATGACAACAGCGCCCTCACACATCAAAACAAAATTACATGGCCCAAAACCTTTAAAGAAGGCATTATCATGATTCAATCGTAATATACACTTTGCACATTTTCCCTTTTTTTTTTTTTTAAATGACTGGACTTCCGTCCAATCACCTTTTTTTTTTGCGCGATGTTCACTTCAGACGCACTCTTCCAAGCGAAATTCTGACCACTAGCAAAGAACCAAAAATTGATTTTTTTCGGTGCATTCAATCTTTGATTATCTATTACAGCAGTAACATTTCCACATCAAATTTGATTCCACTCCGAAGCTGTGTCTGTGAAGCTTAGCGTTACCCTGCTTCTTTTTTTTTTAAGAGTTGTCTTCCTTGACTCCGTTTGTTCCTTGTGCATCTTCCCTTCCGCCATTCACTCTTGCCTCGGGCGATTCTCCTTCCATTTCTAATCTCTGTAAAGACGGAGACAAGGAAACACCTTACTTTACTCAATATTTACTTATGATTTGATTGACAAAAATGATCTGCAACTGCAAGTTGACTTCCGGCTTGTTGACTTTTTTTTTATAATCGCTTTTTTTCTTGCAATATAAAAGTTTTTCACTTTTGCATGAGACATCTAACAAATATAATATGCCCACATTTAGTTATGGAATATTTACTTTAAAAATTGTAAAAAATGAAGGAAAAAAAATGGTTTTTTTCATTTAAAGGGAATAAACAACATTTGCAAACACTGGAAAACAAAACTACCAAATTTTTACGAAAAAGCTTACTAGGACGTCGGTAAATGAAAGTCTAAAGCATCCTGTAAAATTATGGCACCTGGTGTGAAGTCATTTTCAAGAAAAGTGGTATTTTGTATAAATTTCCAATGGTGGTCGGCCGACCACCGTTGGAAAAACCTAACTATTTTTCAAACTACTGCTCCAAATTTACCATTTTTTTCAGTCCAAATTTTGTTTGCTATTGGTTACATGTTCATGAACGGGTGCAGGCCAGCTAGACTGGTTTCCTTACCTTATAATTTTCCGGCATCTATAAATTGATTCGTTTCATCTTTAGTGGAGTCAGGGAACCAGACTACTTGAACATTTTTATTTTTCTTGGTTTTTCCAGCATTTTTCGAACACAAAACATCAAACTTGTCAATGTAACAATATTTGATCTATTATACTAACCCCTCAAATAGTTCATTTCTGAAAATTACAGCAAAAGCCAATGATGTACATGTACATTCCCTTTAAAATGGTAATCATGGTAATACACATTGAACATTTGGTAGGAGAAAAACTTTGACAGAACGGAGAGGGCAAACATTTCACATCATGACTTACCTGTAGTGCAAACTCGGGCAGTACGAATGCCGCTCTGTGAATTGCAGCATTGTAGTATTTTAATTGGAGTTCTTTCTTCTGGGCTTTGGTCCACTGTCGCACCGGCTCCCGGAAATTGGTGTCCTGTAATTACAAGCAATATGGAACCAAAAAACCTTGAAGGACAAGGAAATAACGAACGTACCATTGGGGATTGGTGCCTGCACAGTGGAGGATTTTGGAGGATTGAGGAGGTAGCTAGAGCCCAGCCACTGTTACTTTACATGGGGCTTGATGCCCCTTGAAACTTGGTAGGTACAAAGAGTGTGCCATTGGGTTCCTGCACAGTGGAGGATTTTGTAGGATTGAGGAGGTATAGCCCAGCCACTGTTACTTTGAATGGGGCTTGTTACACCTTGAAACTTGGTAGGTACAAAGAGTGTGGCATTGGGTTCCTTCACAGTGGAGGATTTTGTAGGATTGAGGAGGTAGAGCCCAGCCACTGTTACTTTACATGGGGCTTGATACCCCTTGAAACTTGGTAGGTACAAAGAGTGTGCAATTGGTTGCCTGCACAGTGGGGGGTTTTGTAGGATTGAGGAGGTAGCTAGAGCCCAGCCACTATTACTTTACATGGGGCTTGATGCTCCTTGAAACTTGGTAGGTACAAAGAGTGTGTCATTGGTTGCCTGCACAGTGGGGGATTTTGTAAGATTGAGGAAGGAAGAGCCCAGCCACTATTACTTTACATGGGGCTTGATGCCCCTTGAAACTTGGTAGGTACAAAGAGTGTGCCATTGGTTGCCTGCACAGTGGAGGATTTTGTAGGATTGAGGAAGGAAGAGCCCAGCCACTATTACTTTACATGGGGCTTGATGCCCCTTGAAACTTGGTAGGTACAAAGAGTGTGCCATTGGGTTCCTGCACAGTGGAGGATTTTGTTGGATTGAGGAGGTATAGCTTGATGCTCCTTGAAACTTGGTAGGTACAAAGAGTGTGCCATTGGTTGCCTGCACAGTGGGGGATTTTGTAGGATTGAGGAAGGTAAAGCCCAGCCACTGTTACTTTGCATAGGGCTTGATGCTACTTGAAACTTGGTAGGTACAAAGAGTGTGCCATTCGGTTCCTGAGGATTTTGTAGGATTGAGGAGGTATAGCCCAGCCACTATTACTTTACATGGGGCTTGTTACACCTTCAAACTTGGTAGGTACAAAGAGTGTGCCATTGGGTTCCTGCACAGTGGAGGATTTTGTAGGATTGAGGAGGTATAGCCCAGCCACTGTTACTTTACATGGGGCTTGATGCTCCTTGAAACTTGGTAGGTACAAAGAGTGTGCCATTGGTTGCCTGCACAGTGCAGGATTTTGGAGGAATGAGGCAGATAGAGCCCAGGCACTATTACTTTACATGGCGCTTGTTACACCTTCAAACCTGGTAGGTACAAAGAGTGTGCCATTGGGTCCCTACACAGTGGGGGATTTTGGAGGATTGAGGAAGGTAGAGCCCAGCCACTGTTACTTTGCATGGGGCTTGAATCTTGGCAGGTACAAAGAGTGTGCCATTGGTTGCCTGCACAGTGAAGGATTTTGAAGGAATGAGGAAGGTAGAGCCCAGCCACTATTACTTTGCAAGGGGCTTGATGCCCCTTGAAACTTGGTATAAAGAGTTTCACCCCCACTTGCCTCTCTCCACCCAGGAGTATAAATGGGTACCTGCTATGGACTGGCATCCCATCCAGGAAGAATAGGGATATTCTCAATCATTTCATGCAAAGGGCACTGGAGATAAATGCTGGCCTGATAAGAGGCTCTGAACAGACTGACAGACCTACAGCTCCCTCCTGTTCACTTTTCTGTATTTACATGTACTTACGGGACTGAGACTGCATAGCGTGAAGCCAATCTGACCGCTGGGATAGGTAGGAATGGTACAGTAGCCGTAGTCAACCACAGGGTACAGCGTCTGGCAGAAATCCTTCATGGTCTTGATCAGGTCCAGGTGAAGCCAAAGACACTCTCCTGGAAAACAATTGATGGAAGTTCAAAGTTAAGTTCGTCTCGGTTTTTTTTGGGGGGGGAGGGGTGGTTGTTTTTTGTATTACTGCATAGGTGTCATTTCTTGTTCCTCTACCCCAATCCAACAGACTGTACTTTTTGTTCTGGTTGATCGTCGAGAAACATGGTAATAGAATATGTGATGCGATCAAGCTAAATGAGTCATTTGTCAGGAATTTTTATTTGGAGATACAGGCCAAAATAGGGCCACTTCATAACATCACTTCATCACATCTTTTGGTGTTTAAACTTTTATAATTTTGTAACTTAAAATGGTATCGGTATGCAGTTTTCACAGCAGTAATGCTGCGATTGTTTTCTTTTCAAAACTGTAATAAGAATTGTTTTGACCAGGGTTGACAAACGACTCATGTAGCTTGATCACATCACATACATTTATGCTAATACACAAACTCCGTGTACGATAGGTTCGCGCACTTCGCGAACTCAGCGGCTGTAGCATATTAGCATAGTTTTAGCATAACAAAGGCGCATTGTCATGCGATGCAAATGAACCTGGAGAGCTCGATGTTTAACCCTAACTTGGGATTAAAATTAGTTTGCGAACTTCGTTGACCTCGCGAACAGTCATTATTGATGCCTGCCCTTTACAATGTGTGCAATATACAAAGTGTGGTGGTGATGACATCATCCCGTTTTCATAAACTTTTCAATTTTTTTTTATTTGCTAAATTTGACAGTAGCTGAGTCCAGAGTTACTTCACATTTTTGAAAAAGCAAAGAACATTGAATATAAATGTGTCCATAATAATAACTTCATTGCACAATTTTTTTTCTTCAATGTTTACCCCTTTTAATATTCTACAGTTAGCACACACACTCTCAAATTTGTATCCTTGTGGAGAAAATTCTTTGTTCTCGTGTAGTAAAGTTTTCGATTTTGAAAGTGAAGTTTCAAAATGCTCTTATTTTAACCAGAATTAATTTCCTTGGCTGAAATTCGGACTTAATATCCCTTTTTTAAAACTGCGACAGATCAACCCACCTTGGAAATTCCTAGTTTTTGAGTACAATCCATATCTATTTCGTGAAAACCTTGTGGAGACCTATTCATCTATAGAAATTTCCCTGTGGAGACCTTTACAATGTTTTGTTCCCTATTGTGTGCGTGTCTCCACAAGGATACAAATTTGTGGTCACTTTTCCTGGACTTCGTTCAAGTCACTTTGTGTGCACATGTGCGAGACTTATTGCTCAAATTCAAAATTCCTTTTAACAAGTTGGTGACCTCATAAACCCACAAGAAAAATTAGGATTGGAATATAACATGAGAAAGTTTGGGAAGTGCGGCATTTAGGGCGATTCACAATGCAGTGCGCCACCAAGAGTTTGCCACGATGAGTTCATTTTTTCAAGTTTACGGCCAACAAAACGTGGCCCATTTGAATGAGTGTCAGTAGACAACTTGAGCTAAACGTGGCCCATTTGAATGAGTGTCAGTAGACAACTTGAGCTAAACGTGGCCCATTTGAATGAGTGTCAGTAGACAACTTGAGCTAAACGTGGCCCAGTTGAATGAGTGTCAGTAGACAACTTGAGCTAAACGTGGCCCAGTTGAATGAGTGTCAGTAGACAACTTGAGCTAAACGTGGCCCATTTGAATGAGTGTCAGTAGACAACTTGAGCTAAACGTGGCCCATTTGAATGAGTGTCAGTAGACAACTTGAGCTAAACGTGGCCCATTTGAATGAGTGTCAGTAGACAACTTGAGCTAAACGTGGCCCAGTTGAATGAGTGTCAGTAGACAACTTGAGCTAAACGTGGCCCAGTTGAATGAGTGTCAGTAGACAACTTGAGCTAAACGTGGCCCATTTGAATGAGTGTCAGTAGACAACTTGAGCTAAACGTGGCCCATTTGAATGAGTGTCAGTAGACAACTTGAGCTAAACGTGGCCCATTTGAATGAGTGTCAGTAGACAACTTGAGCTAAACGTGGCCCATTTGAATGAGTGTCAGTAGACAACTTGAGCTAAACGTGGCCCATTTGAATGAGTGTCAGTAGACAACTTGAGCTAAACGTGGCCCATTTGAACGAGTGTCAGTAGACAACTTGAGCTAAACGTGGCCCATTTGAATGAGTGTCAGTAGACAACTTGAGCTAAACGTGGCCCATTTGAATGAGTGTCAGTAGACAACTTGAGCTAAACGTGGCCCATTTGAATGAGTGTCAGTAGACAACTTGAGCTAAACGTGGCCCATTTGAATGAGTGTCAGTAGACAACTTGAGCTAAACGTGGCCCATTTGAACGAGTGTCAGTAGACAACTTGAGCTAAACGTGGCCCATTTGAATGAGTGTCAGTAGACAACTTGAGCTAAACGTGGCCCATTTGAACGAGTGTCAGTAGACAACTTGAGCTAAACGTGGCCCATTTGAATGAGTGTCAGTAGACAACTTGAGCTAAACGTGGCCCATTTGAATGAGTGTCAGTAGACAACTTGAGCTAAACGTGGCCCATTTGAACGAGTGTCAGTAGACAACTTGAGCTAAACGTGGCCCATTTGAATGAGTGTCAGTAGACAACTTGAGCTAAACGTGGCCCATTTGAACGAGTGTCAGTAGACAACTTGAGCTAAACGTGGCCCATTTGAATGAGTGTCAGTAGACAACTTGAGCTAAACGTGGCCCATTTGAACGAGTGTCAGTAGACAACTTGAGCTAAACGTGGCCCATTTGAATGAGTGTCAGTAGACAACTTGAGCTAAACGTGGCCCATTTGAACGAGTGTCAGTAGACAACTTGAGCTAAACGTGGCCCATTTGAATGAGTGTTAGTAGACAACTTGAGCTAAACGTGGCCCATTTGAACGAGTGTCAGTAGACAACTTGAGCTAAACGTGGCCCATTTGAATGAGTGTCAGTAGACAACTTGAGCTAAACGTGGCCCATTTGAACGAGTGTCAGTAGACAACTTGAGCTAAACGTGGCCCATTTGAACGAGTGTCAGTAGACAACTTGAGCTAACTCATTATAGATTGGGACATAGCGTTCTGCTGCCTAACAAAAAACACGATACTGACACAGTGCGTGAAATTACAGTCGGACATCGGACATTTTCCGACCACTTTCATGGTTTGTCCGACCAAATGCAGATGTGCTCGGACAAAATGTCCGAGCGATTTATGTATTCTTTGTGGAGTTGTCTTTTTCAGAAGTATGAAATAAACGGTTGCACTCAAAAGTATTTTGTTGTTTTACTTTATTTCCGATGATCCGGTCTGTAATACTTACCGTACGCTGAGCGGCTGCTAACTACATGTACGTGTTGTCTTATATTCACGCAATAGATGCAACGCGTTTACACCCCAATACATGTAATGAGAATTTAGCAAGATCAAAGTACGTTGTGTTGCGCGGTATGCTTTAAGTGCGTGATTGTTACTAAATTCTCACAACGTGGCTTACTACAGAAACGAGCGCGTGAATGCCTGGCGCTTGTCATTGCAACTACATAGTGTGTATTATGGATACGTACGTACGTAAACATACATACTGTACATGTACACACGTGTATGTACCGTCCACGTGTTTGAAGTATAGTAAACGCGGCCTTTTGAAAGTTCGTCTCGCAAGGTTTCACAGAGTAATTTACTTGGGAAAAAGGAGCATTTCAAGTTTTCAATCATGAAGAGAGCACTATGTAAGTATGTTTTAACTAGTCCTCGACTGTTGATAACCTATTTGTTTGCTCATGTGACCTTCAAATTTGGAACGCTAAATGGCAGATCAAAACTTGACAATGGCAGAACACTTTTGATTGTGCTCGGACATTTTGTCTGACCACTTTTTTTGTCTAATTTCACGCACTGCTGACAAAAAGAAAAGAAAAGGGCAAACAGATACTCGAATCATACGCTTACGAAACTACTGACCGGATAAACTAACAATTTCAAATCCCGCGCTGCGAATTTGTTGACCATCTCCCACAATGCACTGGGAAAAAATGAACTCTCCGTGGCGCACTGGTGGTGCACTGCATTGTCATTTGTGAATTGGAGAGTTATTAACAATCAAGTGTCTGGCATAGGCAGCAGCGGCAGAATGGAGTTCAGGGGTGGTGGGGGTGGGGGGACGGGGGTGTGTAGAGGAATGAGAGGGGGATGGGAGGGGGCAGTACATATATGTACGTCTTTGTACTAGTGGTGGATCTTAAACGGAAGAAAGACATAATTATCAAAAAGGGGACACAAACACCTCCCCACCTCTGCTGCCTATGAGCATATGAATATCACATGGAGTGGTTGAGATGTTATTCTTATTCACCTTGCGTGCAGACGATTCCGCCAGGTCTAAGTGCCTTCTTCATGAGTTCATAGTAAGACTTCTCAAATAGCGCTGCTGCTGGCCCTGTCGAGAAAAAAACAAAAGAAAAACGCCACAAGATCCCATTAAACCTCGTCCTTACAGATTACGGTCTCCGTGAAATAGACGGAGGCCTGTGGGTAGAAAATCGTGGGCTTAGCAGCCCAACCAACTTTGGCCCCGGTGTTTTCTCACCTACTGGATCCGACGAGTCCGTGATGATGACGTCAAACTCGTTGTGGTGCTGCTCCATGAAGACGAAGCCGTCGCCGATGTGCTGGGTCAGCTTGGGGCTCAGAAAGCCACTGGACATGTAGGGAAGGTACTTCTTGCTCACTTCAATCACTTTCTGCAAGTCGTCAGAGACAGACACACAGACCAACAAACAGAACATTAGTGTATCTACATATGTATATGGTTTAAAGGCACGTAGGATCATTTGCAAGCATTCAAAAACGAAACCTGCCAAACTATCATGAAATATCCTACTAAAAACGAAACCTGCCAAACTATCATGAAATATCCTACTTGATTTTAAGTAAATAATGGGATCAAGAATCCTGTGAATTTGTTGTGCCTAGTATGCTGTCATTTTCAAGGAAAGAGGCACTATCACAATTTCCTAGCAATAGTTGGGATGTAACCATCACGCCGTCAACAGAAACATATGCTGTGGCCTCGTGGTTAAGGGCATTGGATTCGTGGTCTGCGGGTAAAGCTGCAGGTTGTGGGTTTGAGTCCAGCCTGGGCCATGGTGCGCGTGCCCTTGGGCAAGGCAGTTTGTCACTCATTGCTTCTCTCCACCCAGGAGTAAATGGGTACCTGTGAGGGCAGAGATGGTTACTGTGATTGAAATTTGAATTAGGCAAAAAAAAAGAATAGTTCTGCTTCCGGTTACCCGACCGACCCTATTTTCAGGCTGCGACCCTAAAAATTTTATCGGCAATTCCAAAAAAAAAAAAAAAAAAGATTGAATAAATAAAAATAAAAACCTTATGTCTTGTCTGTCTTCACAAAATACCTCTCAACAACCCTTTTGCATCAAAAAATGCTTGTATTTATTGTTTTCTTACTTACATTCGCTATTTTTTCAAAAGAAACCTCCGTTATTTTTACAAATTCGCTGCGCGATTCAACTACTTCGCAATTCGATGTCTATAATCACGTGCGTAATAAGCGCAATGCGGCGACAACAGGTTCCCGCCGCGCCGCGCAGGAGCCAATTATGAAAATGCGGTAACTAGTCTGTGCACGGCTATGCGATGTTAGCGCTAGCATGGCTATGCAGGCGCAGGCACGTGCTCTGTCAACTGGTCGGAATCGACATCGTAAAAATGCTGAGAAAGACATCGTAAAAATGCCAAGAAAACACCGATGGAGAAAGAACATTTTTGCAAGTTAATTCACAGATTTGATCTAGCTTGTCTGTGTATGTATTTTCCGTGTTCAAGAGTTCATTTTGAGATCGCACTACTCGTATTTGGAGTGATACAATGCAGCGTGTTTCCTGAAATGTTCGACCCGTTGGCCGCGGGCCACACATGTACAAATGTACATGTACAGTGCATCACACACTTCGGAGTTTTGGCCAGCTCCCGTTCTTGACTAGCGTTGTGCCTATGGTGCGAACGACCTGAATTTCCCACAATTTTTTTTACGAATTATCGAACTTAAATATATCGACAATAATTAAGGTAGGTTTTATTCACTTTTTGTGGCCATTTTGTGTATAGCTTTCGTACTGCAATAGAAATAGTTCAGGCTAAAACTTCGCATATAATTTAATACCCCATTCAATCTGCATAAAAACAATTGGCAAAAAAAAAAAATTCCGACCGATCGACCCTATTTTTGAAAGACATGTAATCGGAAGCAGAACTATTTTTTTTTTTGGCCTTAGCTTGCTTGCGCCAAACAGGCAGCATCTACCTGTATACTCCCCAGGGAGCTGAGATGGTATTTGGAATGTTTCATTGGCACAGTGAGCAGGGGTAATATTGATGTAGCATCTTGAGCACCAGTCCTGGTGGATACGTGCGCTTTATAAATACCCACTTTTATTATATTATTATTACCGGTATGCTTTGCGTCGAGAAAAATGAAGATCACACATTTTTGTATGTTTACGCAAAAAAGGTTAATAGTTTTTAACAGTCCTCTTTTGATTTTGAGTGGTGCATGAAAAGCAAATGATGCCTTAAAAAAAAAACGAGTATGTATGACAACACAAACCTTAGGCATTTCAAAATCTGATGAAATATATATATTTATTGACCAAAGAAACTGACAAGCGCAGGATTCGAACCAGTGACCTGTGATTTCCATACCTCGTCGATTTCGCACTGTGTGACACTCTCCACCTCTGGGTGTTTGACCACCTCCCTGATGACCCCACCGTCTCCGCCCCCTACAACCAACACCTGAAAGAAAAATCCCAACAAATCATCACCCACATAGGTTCCACGTACGACATCAAAGGACCACGTGACCATCCAGTTTCTCGGTGATCGGCCACCATTGCACTAGGCTTTCATTTTGCTCCGCAAATCTGTGAATGGGTGACAACTGGCTGACTGAGAATAATGTCCCAAATGCTGATTTCGGGATAGCGTCACGAGAGGGCGCAATTCAAAATATATAACTCAGCAACTTTGGAATTGAAATCGAAATGCAGAATATTGTGTTTAAGTTTGTTCTGTTTCCTCAATTTATACAGCATTCCCAGATTTAAACCTTTATCAGGTTAGGTAGTATTAACCCTAACCGCCCTGAATCCTTCAAAATCCTCTTTGCCAAAGTGGAGGAATTTGATTGAATAGTACATTTATTTCCGGAATTTGGAGGATTGAGGTTTCGTGACAAAAGTGCGTCACTGATTTTTTAGGATGCACTTTGTCAAGGTCTAAGGCTGGGCCTTGTGTTGTTTTTGCTCAGCCATGTATAAATTTAGGCCTGGATTATGCTTGAAATCCTCCGTACTGCTCCAGGATGTCTCTTGCCAATCCTCAACATATCAACAGTCACTGCCGCAGGATTTTGCAGGATTCAGGCAGTGGTCACCCCTCCATGGACCATATTCGAAGAATAATGAAGGAAATCACAGGATTGAGACTACAACGCTAATATGCTATTTTTCCATGAGGCCAATTGGAGGATTTTGCAGGATTGTGGCTACATCCTAGCAAAAAGGCCTAGGGAGTTAGGGTTAAGCATCTTTCTTTACAATTTGAGCACTTTTGTTGGTTCAAAAAAAAAACGGGACAAAAAAACATACAAATGGTGTAATCTACCTATAAGGAACACAGCAAATGCTTAAACTTCCTGTTTTTTTTTTTTTTTTCAATTAAGGTCTAACAAATCTTCCCCGGGTTTTGCAACTGGGATTCTTTCCTTTGTGCTGTATTTTCTGCCGCAAAGAATGATTCAAAGTTGGTTAAATTCCGGACCACAGCCTCAATGCTTCAGATATTTGATTCACCACAGCTTTTCAATGCTTCAGTTATTTGATTCAAAGCGATCTTTGTGTCGGTTATTCAGTTGCATTTTTCGGTTCCATTAAGTAGAACGAAGGCTCCCTTTTTCAGAAGGCACAAAAAAAATGTTGTTATTTGATAAATCAATCAATCATTGTGTCAGTAAGTCAGTTGTATTTTTTTAATTCCATTAGGCCGAACAAAAAAAGATGTTTGGTCCGGGTCACCGGACTAACCGAAATGCGACCCCACACCATTTTATTGGTTAGTTGGAAAACAAATATTACGATACCGATGTCTGATCAAAATGTTTCAAAATCGCCGACCGCCAGAACAATTTATAGGCATTTATCAGCAAGTGATTTTTTTTTTCTTTCTGGTACTATCCGAAAGAAATCATCAAGGTCTAACATCAGATTGCATGTACTTTGAAAACCCATACATGTACGTTGTACCAAGACAGCTTGTTACACAGCTACACAAACTTTCAAGCCTTGGGACGCCATGCAGCAGCAGCATGGAAAACAATTTTTTCGATGAAACTTTTGTTTCAAATCGTGGGAGAAATCATGGAAGCAAAGTGTCCTAACGATCGTTTTCCAAACTAAACGCTGTTAGGTTGCTGAAAGCAAGTCTTTGTAAACATCATGTTAGCCAATAAGAAAATGTACTATACTTCACATCGGATCACACGGCCGCACCACTTTTGTGGCTTTTGTTCGGCTCTCGTGCACGTGCACGCAAGACTGCAATTTGCTCTAGACATCAGAGAATGTGAGCACTTCCCAAAAACACAAAGCAAATTTCTCATAGTGACATCTCAAAATGACATTCAGGGAATTCTTCGTGAAAACCCATGGGGAAGTTGACGATTTTTCAATTGCTTGCTGTATGGTTGAACTTAAATACGAACTTATTTCGACAAAACACGTCTCAAAAAACATCCCATGGGGACCACTTAAACATGTATCAATCACTCAAATGTATTGGCTCCAGAAAAAAAATTTTTAATGAAATGAAATGCCATGCCGACCAACTGACCCAATTTTGTTCTAATCATGTGACCTGAACCAAAGGTATTTTATTGTTAGGCCTTAATTGAAAAGCACTTACCGCAAATATGATGGCTTCTTTTTTTAGAAGGCACAAAAATCACTCATTTGATTAACTGATCATTGTGTGGGCTATTCAGTTTCATTTTATGGTTACATTAATTGAAACGTACTTCATGAAAATGAAGGCTTCCTTTTCAGAAGTTCCAAAAATGTAACTGTTTGATTAATTGATTTATCAATGTGTCAGTTGTTCAGGTGCAGTTTTTCTTTCCACAAATAGAAACTTATTTCATAAAAGTGAAGGCTTCCGTTTTAGAAGGCAGAAAAAAATATTGATTTATCGATCATTATTGCATTTTTCAGTTCAATTAATTAATTGAAAAGCACTCGGTGCAAAAGAAGGCTGCGTTCTTTAAATTCTCACGCCACATGAAAGACATTGGTCAATCTACACACAAAACTTTTTTTCACGAGAAACGCGCGGCAAACACAAAGACAGACATATAATGTAAAGACCAAAGTTCTAAAACGTGAGTGATTGCTTGGCTTATAGTGAAACGTCCACTAAGGCCGGACGTGAAACAGCTCAATTTTTGTTTTACTCAGCATTAATATATTAAACTGAAAGACTTATAAAATTGACCAAGTTCTATTTTTAACCCTAACCCCTTGAGCACTTTTACTAGAAAGTATCCTGAATCTGCCAAAATCTATCAATTTTGTCAAGCAAAAAATGTTGGTGTCCAGTCTGTCCTGACGTTTTAACCTCGAATCTCGTGCATCTTTTGATACCAAAAAATATAAAATTTAGACAGCGGGTTGCCGAGAAGCAAAAAAAAATACCCGCTGTGAAGACTAAATTTCCCCATACATGTACGTAGTGTACACAAAGCAGAATTACCATTGGTGCATATGAATAAATAATAAGCCATAATTCCAAAACCCTTTGGCCTGGTCTTGAAATATCTTGGGTATGTTCGTGTTAAGTTGTTCTATGCATGTAAATGTACCGGGTTTCATAATTTTTCGTCACTGGATGATCGAGATCTAAGGGAGGGGGAGGGAGAGGGGGGCAAAATACCTAAACCGCCCCTCCCCCCCCCTCCCTCCCCCCTGCTGTGAGAAGGTCAAAATAACCTTGCCCTTTTAAGGTTAAAGCCTTGATGTTATATCTTGTCTACATTTTTACCGGTACCTTCTTTGGGTTGGGATGTGAGTTGAGAGGCAGGTGGGTTATCATCTCCTGATAGCTGAACTCGTCCCGCTCCGTGCACTGAATGACGCCATCGAGAACAAGCACATTGCCGTAGTTCTCACTGTCAAAGTACAAAAAGGGGGAAATGAAGTATCCTGATTCTATTTTCACCTCATACAAATTCAGTGATAATACTAAAAGTCATCGCATAGCATAATGTAAGGCCCCATAGCCACATAAAAGTTGCTCAAATACTGGATATTCTGTGTCTTGCGAGTCACTCAGCGGTGATAACATTTGAGGAAATGTTGTTTTGAATTGATATGATTTTGATTTTGAAATGTGCCTTCGAAACATTCGATTATCCCGAATGACCCATGACCCATATCATTGTGCACATGCGCAGCTGTACCAAACTGGCTTATCGTGTATTTGACTTTCGCAAAAAAGGCTTTTCCTCATAAGTTGTTAACTTGTTATAAACACCATGTGGCTCACAATATGGAGGAAGTCCAGTATTTGAGCCACATTTATGGGGCTAGCCCAGAGCGCTAACTCATGTAGAGCGCTAACTCATGTACAAAGTGATGCCTGCTGGGCGCATGCCAACTTGAACTAGCTTGGTTGGTCAAATAATTTAAAAGTGGATTTTGTTCCCTTGTTATAAGAACCGGGCCCTTAGATATACGATCGCCCGCCTAAGACTCTAAGTTATTAATTAATATCACAAAACTGCACTTCGATTTATATAGGCCCCTAATGCAAAATAAATACAATGTACACATGTGTATGTAGGCCTAGAACTGCACTGTGTTAGTGTTTAGCTCTAGTACTGAGTGGAGCGTTGAACTACGGTACCCTCCGTACGGAGGGTACCGTAGTTCAACGCTCCACTCAGTAGAGCTGTTACGCCCCAACTATCGCATCGGTCCCAACTATAGTTGGGACTTGGGACTGTCCCAACTACAGTGCGGCAGTTGGGTCGGCCCAACTATAGTTAGGACTGGAGTTGCGCCGGATGCTTCATGCTTGATCTAGATCTTGTTGGATTAAATGTTCCGCGGCGCTGGCACCGTGTATTCGTCGTGCATGCATGCCGCAAGGCTGGCCGGTCACGTGGTACTGCCTAGTTGGATGAGTTGTCCAGCTGCTGGGTTGATTGTCCAGCAACATTTTGCAAAATTCAAAGATTGCCATGGCCGGCCAACTATAGATGGGCCCCACCCATAGCTAATGTCAAAGGTCCCAAGTAAAGTCGGACAGTATGTAACAGAGCTGTAGGGAATGTTTTATAGTCGTTGTACATCAATGTAAACTATAGTTGGGACCGCCAAATAAAAATATTGCGGTGGCCCAACTACAGATGGTCCCCACCCATAGATAAGTTGGTCCCAAGTAAAGTCAGATGTGTATTAGAGTTGTAGGGAATGTTTTATAATCGTACAACAATGTACACTATAGTTGGGACTGCAAAATAAAAAGATTGGAGTGGCCCAACTATAGATTCGCCCCATCAATAACTAATTTCAGTGGTCCCCAGTAAAGTCAGACGTGTATCAGAGCTGTAGGGAACGTTTTACAGTTGTACATCAATGTAAACTATAGTTGGGACACCGCAAAATAAAAAGATCGGAGTGGCCCAACTATAGACATGATAGATGGGCCAGCTCAACAGTGGAACTTACAGTTGGGACCGTCCCAACTATAGTTGGGACAGGCCCAACTATAGTTGGGCCAGCCCAACTGTGGAACTACAGTTGGGACAGGCCCAACTATAGTTGGGACCGATGCGATAGTTGGGGCGTGACAGGGCTAAAATAGCCATAGCGTTGCAATTGTTACGTTAATAGTAGTAATAATACGTTAAACTTTTACCTTTCGAATACAAGCACGTCCTGAAATTTAGATTTTTCGTGAAACAGAACCTCCTTGACTTTCAGTGACATACACTGGCCGGGCCACAGCGTGCTGAACTCACTAAACCAACCCTCGCGCAACGAATCCATGACGAAAAACTGTGGAACACCCGAAAAAATAGCACTTTAGGCTAGCAGACAAAAAACCTTCGGTGGAGTGATTTTGCGTCAGTCGTAAACACAGCATATGCTACATATTTATTATTCTACATGCAATAGAAGTAGGTCCACTGGTTATTAAGAGAGTTCCTTGCAAATTATAGCCAGTCATAATATGCACAGTACCAGTTTCTACGGTTGTCCCATGTGTTATAGAACTTACAAGGTGCATGTATTATCGCGTGTCCGCCACGTGCGCGTGTGACATGTGCGGTGGCGTGGGTACATGTGCATGTACGTGAGCAATGATAGTCTTTGTTCAAGACGCTAGCGATCGATTGATTGCCACATCAGAAGGGCTCCCTCGCATGACATACTAGCGCTTGCACAATAGTTAACTAGATTAGTTTTTTACAGATTAATTTCGCTTAGAATCCTTTCCTTTGCGAGAAGAAAAAGAAAACATCTTGTAGATGATCCCCATCCGTGCAACTACCAATTGGATATCAGCATCCTATCCTCTGCAGATCTAAATAACAGAAGGCGCAATAAAGGGCTCATATATTTTAATGCAATCCTTGAAAATCACCTTTATGTCCTATTTAACCTTTATTTAGTCTAGTCAAGAGTGTTTTTTGTGCTTTCTTGGTTTTTATGCTGATGAAACTTTCCATATTCGCAAGCAAAAGTGTGATGTCATTTCAGGCAGAAACCTCACTACAGCTAAAATTTAGCACCACAAGTTTCAAGCCTTGCCAGAATTTTGTGGATACATGTACTTCGCTGTCGTAAATTTTCTTTTCTTTATAATTTAGTGCTTCGTTGTAGTGTCAGTACATAGCAGTAAGCCAATGAGCAAACTTTTCTCAAAAAATGTTTTCACTAAGAGCAAATTTTTGGGTTCACTTCACAACTTGAACAACCCTGAATTAGCAATCTACACGGAGTAATTTCCCGTGGTGTTTAGTATAATTGGTATGCTCATTAACCTGAGTAAGGTTTTTCAATAACATTTCTGTAGGTTATACTTTTGGGACAAATGCAGGTGAGGCTTATAATAATGCCTTTAACTGATAGATCGAGGTGTCAAAGCGGAAGGGTTACAACTGACATTCGATTTGCATGTATTTTTTTTTTCAGCACAAAATAATAAACCTTACAACGCAGTGGCGCGGCAGATGTAGAAAATCCCAAAGGATGGGCCGGGGTTTTGAAGTCCGAGATTTTTCAAGGTGTTGGATGAAGCGTTGTACAGGGTGAGTAAAAAAAACGAAACCAACATGTTGGGACCATTTTTGTGTGAAGTGCGAAAACAAATCACATAGGGATGTGTGTGAAGTGTTTCGTTTTGCCGAAAGAACACTTAACTTTTTTTGTGATCCGTGGACAGAACCTTAAAACGGTGGTTGTGTTTAAAATTCCGTAACTTGAAAAGTACATGAGTGATTTGAATGATTCTTAAACTAAAAGAAAGCTTATGAATTGGGCTTTTATATCCTAGATTTTGAAAGTGCTACATGCAGAACTTCACTAAAACAATGGTCCCGACATTTGGGTTTCGGTTTTTTTACTCACCCTGTAAAGACTAAATCAGAAGCAGTGAAGCAGGATGTGCAATATTGAGTGATGACGTTATTTTTGGACTTTTTTAAAGGAAACTTTGGACGTGCTCATTGTATAAATTATAATTCCTGGCAGTGGCGTAACTCGGTTTACAATGGGGGGGGGGGGGGGGGGGGGCACCTAGGGGTGCATAAACTTTTCAAGGGGGCACTGCAGGCCAATGGTATACCATTCAACATTATAAAATGTGGGGGGGGGGACACCTGGGGGCACGGACATTTTGAAATCTCAAACTCCATAGCGTCTCCCTTGGGGCAAATATATTTCAAAAGACTTCGTTGTGGGGTTTATTGTTCTATTGTGTTTACTGCCCCATAAGAAACCATGAACCTGCACACATTGGTGGGTCTCATATTGTATTAAATAGAGGCGTTGAACAATAGAGGACATAATAAATTATAGGGTCCACAATTCAATTGTTTCTGTGGACGAACAGTCCAAAATGACAGCGATTTGTTTAAAATTTAACCTCTGAACCTGAACCTAACAAACATTCTCCATTCATTTGGAAAGAAATCAGTCATGGTCAGTTTTCCATGCGAAGCCGATATACTATTGTTTTTACAACGCAACCTGCCAAGCTCACTGACATTATTTTTTTTCCAACTCATATAAGCATATAAACAGTGACAACTTTTTTTTTAATCTCCTCTAGTGCCACAAAAATATGAACGTAGTTATATAAATGTTATTCCTAATGGTTATACAGACTACCATACGATATAATTTTATTAACATTTCAGGTGCCATGGTTTTAGAGTTTGCTATAAATAATCACTAAAACTGTCTGATAAAACGTAATTCAAATTCAAGAAATTTCCACTAACTTTTAATAATAATATTACATAACATGACAAGAGACTGAAACAAAATCAAACAATGTTTTTTTAAACGTTAAACATTATTTTACCGATAATTTTGTGCGTATACTTCCAACATTGTGCACACAAAAATCCACTTCTTTTTAAGATAGGGTATATTATGCATGAGACAAAACCGGAATTTCATCAAAATCATATCAATCTATAACTTACAGTATACTATTATAATATCAATCAATATATGACATGAATCATATCAATAGGCCTATAATTACAATACAGTATTCTTCCCACTTTCAAACGCCTTCGAAAATAGCATTTGTATGATCTTATACAGCGTGTCCCAAAAAAAAATGTCCCTCTGATAGACTGCTAAATTAATTCCAAAATCAAGTATTATTCTCAATTTAGTGTTCAGATTAAGAAAGCCCATTCAATTTTGTAACTTCTGTGAAAATTTAATTGGTCTCGCTTCATTGGTTTTGAATACACAGTCTATTATGTAACAGCAGTGCTTTTCAGCCCATTCCAAGTTTGCAGGTGGAAGGATGTGCAGGAGGACAATAAAGGTTTACAAGATGGACATTGAAGAACAAACCATAAGTGGAGCACACCCTGTGAGAGCAAACACGACCAGTGGAACTAAACTTTGATTAGTTTTCATTTAAAAAAAGTAAATGAACTTGACTTTAGTTACTTAATAACAAAAACAAGAACACAGTTGTTGAAATAAAAGTGAAGCATGGAATAAGGTATGGTATGTCTGTAGTGTGCATTTCTTTTTATCAAACTTGGAATGGGCCGGAAAGCACTGCTGTTACATAAGAGCCTGTGTATTCAAAACCAATGAAGCGAGACCTTTGAAATTTTTACAGGTACTACAAAATTAAGTGGGCTATCTAAATATGTAAACTTAATGGAGTATAAAACTTGATTTTGGTAATAATTCTGTGGTCTATGAGAGGGACATTTTTTGGGGGACACGCTGTATACTGTACCATCATTCTTACAGCCAGTATATCGAGAAAAAGAACTGTGCCTACCCCCTTCCTCAGAAATACTTAAACCTCGTGGTACACTCTTGCATAATTCCTTATTCATCATTTCATGTTTTTTTATGGAAAGGGGTCTGCTCATAAGTCCGACGCTTCACAGGTCCGACGCCTCCATGATAAGTCCGACATTTCGGACTTATGAGGCGTCGGACTTAAGGGGGATACATTCCGCCTCATTATGTGCGACGCCGCATAAGTCCGATGCCTCATAGCTCCGACGCCTCATAAGTCCGAAACAGCCGTTTACCCATTGTCGGACTATTAGGCGTCGTACCTATGAGGCAGAATTTATGCCCGTAAGTCCGACGCCACATAAGTCCGAGATGTCGGACTTATGAGGCGTCGGCCGGACCTATCAGGCGTCGGACTTCTGATACGACCCCCTTGGAAACCACTCCCGGGGTTGTGAACAACCAACTAAATATCGCGAGCTGGGGAACGGGATCAAGTGTCCCACAGTACAGACAATTCAGCATTTTGGCGGTCCACCGATCGAGTGGTTTCTGCAAAACTACCGTCATCCTCACTCAACCTCAGTGAACGCGGTTTGAGGGGATTTTCTGGCCGGTAAGGTTTTTTTGCAGCCACTCTCATTATATACGTTTGCTTCGGCGTAAACCTCACCAAATATCATGCCATATCGGTGTCTCTGTACCGCTACCGGGCCGACTCGAATGTTGGGCCAACGTGAAACATTCGGAAACTTGCAAAAGGAATCATTTGTAAACCTTCAAATACTGCAAAAGACACGAGACTAAATTGGAACAAATTGGAACAGTGTGAACCTCGTAAATGGCGGTTTCTGTGCCAGTCACGCGCTGCATCGTTATGTATTATTTGCCCTCCAGAAAAATCAGTATTCAGGCGGTCTTTGGTAGTACGGCACACGGTGGTGTGTGTCTCGGTGTGTCCCGTTGGAAATGAACCGTCGACGACTCCACATGCACCGCAAGATCAGCCCCTCAGTGAACACGGTTTGAGGAGATTTTGTAGGCCATGCGGTGCTGTCCCCTCACATTAGAAAACTACACGGCTGCCTCGGAGTGCGCCTCACCAAATGTCAGGTCATATCGGCGTTTCGCTGTTCCGCGCTAATAGTCCTTTCAGTGTGCAGTGCACAAGACATGCGCCTACCGACTATGACAGAAACCGCGTATTGAGCAAATTGCCAAATAGCCTAGCGTACATCAAACACATACATCTTGAACGTTGTAAAAAGACGTTTTTGTAGTCGAGATCAAAATGATCAGGCATGCAATTATTTTATCATGTAATTAAATTTTACGCTGGAGACACTTTCTCCGAAAATGATAAAGTTAAATGGAAACTCTGGTATTGTTAAATCTGTATAATTCGATACAATTTTAAAAGCTATATCTAGAGGAATTTCCTCGTTTTTTCCCTGCTGTTTGTAACGCTTGTTTTCAGTAGGGTGAGGGGTTCTAGGTTCGTTGCAGTGGCACTGATTCTAATTTAATCCGACATGTCCCAGAGCAGTATGTTTTACTTTAACATTATTCCTTTTTACAGGATAACGTAGACCTATACGTTAGATTGATGACATGATTTGGGGTTTTGTTTTTGTTGTAGCCGTTTGTTTTTTAATGTTATGGTTTTACGAAACTGCCTTTGATTGTCTTAGATCTAGTCTCAAGATCAGACATCGCATTTCTTCTAGTTACCTTCTTAGTAATCTGGTTTGGGAACTTTCCTTTTTCGAGTGCTCGCCGGCTCAATGTCATAGTGACCACTTGGTGTGAATACTAATGATTAGGGAAAATAGGACAAACTTTAGCTCGGTGTTCCGATCGTGTTGTCATTAACCGGAGGTACCTATTTGACATTCGAGGAGCCTGCTACAGACGGGAGTTTCGAAGCAGTCCCCGTCGTGTCAATAGACAGCTCGGAGGGGTGAACACGGATGCTACGAGACGTAGACAGCGACGTTCCTCTCGTGGACGCCCCGGTACCCTCGCGGGTCACCTCGATGTCACCCACGAAGCGCACCGCGTACAGCTTGGGCAGGAAAGCCATGAAGATGGTACCGTAAGCGTTGAGCAGGACCACCACGCAGAGGGTGACGACCCGCTGGCTGGTCGTGGTAGCCGTGGCGTAGACGGGCAGGGCTGCCACACTGAAGACCAGGGTGGAGTAGACGTTGGCCGCGATGAACTTGGACTCGTTGTAGTTGCTGGGGACCTTGCGGGCACGAAGAGCGTAGAAGCAGCAGACAAGCACCAGGACCAGGTTGTAGAGGAGGCTAGCTATGGCTTCGTAGCCGAAGAGGCAGTACAGTTCGATGTGGTTTTGGGCGGGGACCTGGAACAGCAGCTCGGGCTTGGTGGAGTTGAGGGCGATGGAAATGATGGAAATCAGAACCTGATTTGGAAGATCAAAACCAAATAATCATTGAATTTTCGAGTCCTCACGATGGAGCTTTTAAGTTTTCCCGCAGTGTTACACTTTACATAGGAGATATAATCAATTACGCAAACACACGCAAAGAGATAACATTCAGCGCTGTGCAGTAAATTCAATTGTGGCCTTCACACTCTTCAATAAAACTGTTGTCATACTTGACTAGATCACAGTCAAACTAGACCTGGCTTTTGGCATTAGCTGGTTGCCAGTTAAAACAAAATCTTGGCTGGATGTATGGTGAGTGTGATAGTCGAGCGCCAAAACGGTAAAGGTGTGCTTCTAGTCCCCGTGGTCAGATTCCTGGTATTTCTCAAGAACCAGACAACATAGTCAGTAATAATTTGCAATAATTTTGAAAGGATTATATGTAAATGCATATTGAGCATGTTCTACAACAACGGATAATATCCAAAACTTTCCATTGAGAGATTGTGATTTAAAGATAATGTTACACAAACAGCAAAGGACCATTATTTTGATCGGCAATGGCGAAATTGACGAAAACACATGTAGAATGCCTACCTGTATGAAGATCAGAATGGATGCGATAGTGACTTGAGTACGAGGACTGGTCCAAGATGGCCGCTTGGTGGACTTCTTACTGGCCTTGAAGATGCGGAAGATGCGATTCACTTTGAGTAAAGTCGCTGAGAACATGACGGTGTAGCAGAGGGAGATCATGGTTACCATGCAGTGGCAGGCTACCTCCGAGGGCCGGGCCAGAGTCACCACGGTCGTTGCAAAGGCCAGGAACAGACCCCCGATTTGGATGGCGCTTAGCTCCCGGCTGGTGGCCTTGATTAGCGGATGGCTCCGGTAGTAGTACATACCGGCGGCGACCAGCGATGACAGGGCCACACCGGTGCCCGACAGCACCAAGACAGCGACTGCCGGGGGACTGCCCCAAGAGATGGCCTTTGGGGTGATAGGGTCACATTGGGTGCGGTCCTGATTGGGCCAGTGCGTCCTCTCGCACGTGACACAATCGCCATTCTCAGTGATGGCATTGATGGGACACTGCCGACAACCCCAGCAGCACTTTTGCTCTAAAGGAACCTCGATGTACCCCGGTTGACAGAGCTCCCTGCAAGTAGAACGTGGTGGGACCTTTGTATGTCCCGCCCAGATCACAGCATCGTCATCGACCGAGAGACGCCCCTCAGATTTCAGCGAGTCCCAAACACCAACCTGGACTGTGTGTATCACTCCTCCCGTTGTCATCTGTACGTTCTTCAGAGTGTAACGGCCGGCCGGTTCGCCGTTGTTCTCGAACCGAAACGGGCCGTCAGCCCCCAGGAATTCCACATGGAGCAAGTAGGGTAGAAATCGTTCGCCAGCAGAGACGATTTCCGAGGTGCAGGTCAAATTCCCATGGCAGACGCTTGTCAGTACCTCGTGCAACGCGTGAGCGAAGATGTTTACCGCGTTCATCACGAAGATCTCGTCGTTGTTAGTCGCAGGCGGGCAAGCGCTGAGACGGGAGCAGTTGCGTCCCGCCAACCACTCCATCTGAAACTCCTGAAACCATCTACTCACAGGCTGGTCGGATTCATCATCACCGATTGACAAGAAATACTGTTCGAATCCGTCTATGTCGCGATAGTGGAGCGGCACAAAAATCCCTCCCAGCGTGTTCTCCGAGAGGCTGATCTTTTTCAGTCTGTAAACCGACTCGAAGGCGGCACTGCCGATGAACGTCAGATTGGACCCGGGAACCTGGTTGTGGAATTCGTCCAGGATTGTGTAGGGTGCGCCCGAAGCTGCAAAGACGACCACCACGGTGGCGGACCTGTAGGTCTTCAGTTTCTGAACCACCTCTTCGATCTCCGCGTCTGACGGTGCGTGACTGATCGGCGACGAAAATGCCAGACAGATGCCGGCTTTCTCGGCGAGCTTCTGCACCTCCTGCGCCCCGCGGATCCCGTAGCTGTCAAGCGAATAGATCAGGGCGACGTAGTCCCAGCCGAATCGCAACAGGATGTCGATGACAGCTAGTGCGTTCAGCATGTCCGGGGGAGTGGAACGCAGAAAGTATGGGAACCTGTTCTTGTCTGAAAGCTCGTCGCTCGTGGCCAGGTAGGAGATAACGGGCATCTGGAACAGACTGCCAGTCATACCGGCCAAGATGCTGTTGGAGCTCGACACCGGCCCGATGGCACCCAGGAAAGTGCTGTTCTCGTATCTGATGCCTGGCCTGAAATCTCCGGGGACGTCCAGGTCCATGAGCCTACCGTTACTGCCCAACAGTGACAGGATCGTGTAGAGCGTCATGGACTCTGAGTAGCAATCATCTCGGATCTCGAATCCTAGGGTGACGTTGGGCAGCAAGTCCGGTCGCCTGTTGATGCTCTCCACCGCAAAGACCATGGTTTGGGACAGCTCCACAGCCCAGGCAGACAGCGCCGAGTCGCACGGGGCATGGCCTGAGTAGTGAAACGGGAACAGGCCAGCGATGAAGAAATCTCCGGGCCGGGCAAAACTGAGGCGCACGTCAGGCGGAATAGCGCCGAGCACTAGACCGGTGGTAAAGACCAGCGTGAAGACCCCGAGTCTCCAATCAAAAATCATTTTCACTGATGAAACTCTGCCCAAAATGCAGACACTCGTTGTCGTGCACCTTAGGCACTCAATCAGGTAAGTCTCACGTGCGCAATGTACGTGCAACCTAGGGTTAAGTGGTGAATAACTGCGTGCGATTTCTTTTATACAAGTCGTGAGCGTCGTGAAGACGTTACCCGTAGTTCAACAGAAGTGGCACCGGCACGTGCTCTGGTGTATAACAGAGTATCTTTCACCTGCCTTTCCGCTCGTACCTTTCACCTTTCCCAGAGGCAATAATGACGGCTACCGAACTCTTGCACAAAGTAGTGAGCAGGAAACGCATGGCATTGTGGCTGGCTTAATGTCACGATCTGCTCACGTGACTTTCCGTGCGCCTGCTGGAGAGTGTCCTTTGTGAAACACAGAAGATATCCAATGAGAGCTCGGGAAAAATTACTTGCCACCACATGTAAACTTGGTAGAGCAGTGTGTACGAGAGAATCCTCGGTTGTCTTATGATGGTAAAATACCACGCGAGAAAAAGATGTAATTCACTTTAACATGTTATCGAGGTTCACATCATCAAATGCCAAGGTTTCACTTTCTTCTTCAACAACACAGACCTTCTAAGGTGCTTATTTCCAACAAGAACTGGAATCTCATCATTTTCGTGTGCAGTCAATCTTCCGACGAAGCATGGCCGCGTACTTTACCCCGATTCTTATACAAGAGTGTTTTTTTTCGGCATGTTTGTGTTATGTAGTGCTTTTTGTTTTACTTTATTCTGTTTTGTCAAAAATCACTTTCTAATAAAGAAATGAACAGGTGAACGCAACAGCATAGAACTGAGGCCAGAAATTTACCCTGAAGTTACGTATAGGTTTTTAAATACTATTTTTAATGTAAGATATCATTCTCTTATGGGGTTTTAATTCTTCAAGACGAAGATATTGTTTTATCAAAAAAAACCACGCTTCGCAAATTAATCTGTTACATGCCAAACATGTCAATATAAAGATCGCTATTTTGTTTCATCAAACACAGCAATGAAACATGCAAAGGTAGGTCTTAACAATATTCAAACAATAAATAATAAATCATAATAAATAAAGGCCTGTAGAATGCCCCATTTCAGATTAAGTTACTGTGAGAGCTTCCCATTTAGAGACGTTTAGAGACCTTCCAAATAAGCATGAACTGGATAATTCTAGAGCGGTGCAATAAATTCCAACTTTGATACGGAAAACATTCAGTAAAATATTAATGTGTAACATGTTGAAGGCAACACCCCAGTCAAGTAAAAACTTAACAGAGAAAAAATCTTGTCTATAAATAGGGGCATAATTGGGGTTCAATTTTTGAGGGGCACTTAGGAGCCCTCATTTTCTGGAGGGGCACTCAATGTGTTTTAAACAAAAACACTAGCTTATGTTTTCTTTCCTGAAATTCTGAACGGATGGAGTGGGGGGGGGGGGGGGCATGGTGTTGTGGGCGTGCTCCATGTTCCATTGGTTGCATATCCATGCCAATTATCGTTACTGGTATTTACGTTAAGGAGACTGTGCACGGGATACACATACTGAACACAATTTATACAAATATATTGGGCTTGCAATTCTCTTGCAACGGCATACCATAAATCGCTTTAAAAATAAATTGCAAATTATTCATGAGATAAATTTTGCGTCAGGGTCATGTAAATTCAATAATCGGTCTTGCCCTTCACCGACGTATAATACTCAGTGTGTTACCCCGGAGTGAAAATGAGAAAAAAAAATCACTCGGGTGGGATTCGAAGCCACGACCTCCTGCTTTCTAATGCAGACGTCTTCCCACTCGACCACTAGGCTTGCCGGGATCCGCTGGCTGGTTCGAAACTGTTGTAGCAGCGGGTACCGCAATGAAACTATTCATAAGATGGAATTTTGCGTCCGGGTGATGTAAATTCAATATTACTCTCTAAATTCCAAGGAGTGAAAATTCACTCCATTCGAGTGAAGATTCACTCCCACAGTCGGAAACTGGGGACTAGACGTTTTAGAGTGAAATTTCTTCAATCGTAAAGATCGAGTTTTCACTCGAGCTTCGACTGAAGTGGTTCTTTTTTTCAGACTAGTTTAATCGAAAATGAGAGTGATTTTCACTCTAAAACGTCTAGTCCCTAATTTCACTCTTTGGAATTTACAGAGTATAGGTCTTGCCCTTCACCGACGTATAGGCCTAAACACTGTTTACTCGGTGTGTTACCCCCGAATGAAAGTGAGAAAAACATCACTCAGGTGGTACTCGAACCCACGACCTCCTGCTTTCTAGTGCTGACGTCCTGCATGCACCCGACCACCGAGCCTGCCGGGGTCGGCTGGCTCGATCAGTGTGTTGCTAGAGGTCAACACACTGAGTGTACAGTGTATACGTCGGGGAAGGGTAGTACCTAATTTTGAAATTGCAAACTACTGACAGGCATGTCATAATTCCCTATCACCATATCAAGGCTGGACTTTTGAACAACAGGGACTGCTAAGGAAAATGTCCACGTTGTTGGGAACTGACAGTGCTCACAACCATTATGCAGATGAATATTTGTATATTGGTAATAAAAGGTAAGATAATATCCAAACTTTCAACCAGCATCCAGGATCAAGAATAACACATTTCTTACTGGAACATAACATGAGCTTAGGTACGTTCAGAACAATCTGAAAGTTGAGTGAATTCGGTAAGAAATAACAGCGGAGGATGCTGACGCCTAGAGATTACATGTAGACGAGTAGTTAGCCTTGACCGAATATTGGTAATCGTCAGTAATGGTAATCTTTGGCGAGAGAAAATCATTCAAGTGAGGGAAGAGGAAGTCGACTGGGCTTGTTTTTGGTATAAAAGGTAGAAAAGAGATGTGCTTGCCATAAAAATTATTTTGATCATGACCATTTTTGTGCAAAAATATAAGACGGGCGCAATTCATCACAAATGGATCAGTGTTTTTATGGAGCCTGAAAGAACGTGAGTTCTTTCTTTCGTTCTCTGCATTTGGTCTTTGAACCAATTAACCAAAGCAAAGACATTAAACGGTAAAGGTTCCGGTCATAAGAGAGACATGACTATATCAAGAAAGTCACGACGAGTTCTTTGCAACGTCAAGTGCAATGCTCAAAAGTCTATTATGTAGTTATAGTACCCCGACCCTCTACCCGAATCGCCAATGAGAAAAAAAAAAATCGGCATCTTTTATTTTTTTCAAAGGAGGTTGCTGGGTTGTTGAATTCTAACATTTTTGTTTGGGGGAGGGGGAGGCTTTGCAGTAAACGCACAAAAAGATCAAAGACCTGAAGGAATTAAGCAAGATTTGCAACAATTATCGGGAAGGGAACTTTAAGGAACTTATTATTTTTTCCCATTATGTAAATAATTAACTGATTAGTCTGGCGGCCGGGCAATATCAGGATTCGACCTTAACTTTTTTTTTACTAGCCAGCCGGGCTACTGAAACAGAGTCTTAACTAGCCTTTAGTCAAGTCCCATGCGGGTATACCCGGACCATCCAGACACGTAACGCACCCCGGATGCTGGCACGTAAAAAGACTAGCAAGAGCGGCGAAGCCGCGAGGGCCTTTACTATCTCGTGGAACTAATCACTTATTCATTTATTCACGTAATATAAATCAAGCAATATAAACCAATCATCTAACGGTGGTTTGCGGTTACCATCAACAGCATGGCGCGCGTGCTGTCTGGCGCCAGACGACGGCTGATTTACGTTAGTAATTCTGCATTTTCATTGGTCAATTCACAACGGGTAATGCATTATGCATGTCTACCAAATCGGTAGACAAATGTAAAGAAAAACATAAGCGTTCTCCACGAGAAGGTAAAGGCCCTCGCGGCTTCGCCGCTCGTGCTAGTCTTTTCACGTGTCAGCATCCGGGGTGCGTCACGTGTCCGGGTAAGCGCGTGGGACTTGACTATAAAGGCTAAGTCTTAACTAGCCCGCGGGCATTTTCACCAGCCCGCATGTTGTTCTTTAATTTATGGAGTGTCTCTTATTAAACAACAATGTGCACACAAGTCATGTAAAACGTGTATCCTGAGGCAATCTTGTCAGTGTTTTTAATAAACAGATCTAATAATTTAACCCTAAACAGTTAATAAAATTAGACACAAATTGATACAGGTTTGCTTTCTGAATTTAATGATTTATTTCTTCCTGTACTTTCATCTTTGCTGTAGCCCAATATTTTTTTTGACTCGCCAGCCGGGCTACTTAAGAAATAGTTTGACTAGCCGGCCGCTGTTTTGACGGGCTACCGCTCAAGTCGAACCCTGCGGGTATCTATCCCATCCACCCCGCCCCTCCCCATTAGATCCGCCTTATCAATTATCAAGTGGGAAGATCTGAGAGCAAACTTATTTGAAACTGTTGGGAAACCAGGCCAATTTATTCATGGTCGAGGGATGTTGCATCGGAAGCATGATATGTCAAGTATGAAAAGGCCAAGTCTTTGTTGATGCTGTTCAATGTTACTCATGCATGATCGCGAAATGGCAGTCTGGGGGATTTGCGTACAATTCACTTAAGTGTTTCGAGGGATACGGCATCATCAACTCATTTTATCTTTAGTAAAGGAAGGGGATTATTGTAAGAAGGTGATTTAGTTTTCTAAGCTGACTTTAGGCACTCAAAATGGCTTTTCTCCTTTTTTTCAGAGTCTAAAATTAGTTTCTGAAAAGGTCGGAGATGACATTTTCTCTTGTAAAACAAAAAGGCCACACAAAACAGAGAAAATGAAAACGTTTGTTTCAAACACCCGAATTCTAGTGAGGTAAAACGTAGTACATTGGTTGCCAACAATATTGATGCCGGATATTAAATTATTTGTGCATCAACAACACTGTATTTTCCCAAGCCCAGATACTCTACAAAGCGTCTCCAATCATGTCAAGAATATTCCCCGGAAAATTGCCAGGATAGACAAACAATCGTATCCTTGCTCGCCACCTATTTGTTTTCTTTCCGGAATAACAAAATAGAATGCTCTCATCCGAATTAAATCAGGTAGTTGCCGAGTACATCTCTGCCGGAACCAATGTGAGATTTTTTTTTTTTTATCAGATTTGAG